TAGTTTGAAGGATATTGACATCCATGATCGGGGCAGGGGAGAAGCAAGTCCTCACTTGGCCTCAGCCCAGCCTGGGAGGGAGGGAGGGAGGAGAGACCAGTCCTGGGGCTTAAACTCAGGGCCTGTGCACTGTCCCTGAGCCTTTTTACTCAAGAGGAGCATTCTACCCCTTGAGCCACAGGCCCACTTCTGGCTTTTTTTTTTTTGGTAGTAGTGGTTAATTGGAGGTAAGAGTCTCACAGACTTTTCTGCCCACTTTGAAGAGCGATCCTCAGATCTGAGCCTCTTGAGTAGCTAGAATTACAGGTGTGAGCCACCAGTGCCCGGCCAGTCCTGTTTTCATTTTGGCAGTGATGAGGTTTGAACTCAGGGCTGGCTAGGCAGGTGCTCTATTACTTGAGCCATACCTTCTGCCCTTTTGTGCTTTAGTTAATTTCCATCTTAGGTTTCATGGTTTTGCCTGACCAGGTCCGGACTGTGATCTTCCTACCTGCAGCCTCCTGCATAGCTAGGATTACAGATTGTGCACCACCATGCTCAGCTCATTGATAGAGGCGACGTCTCACTAACAATTTTATGCCCAAGGTCTTCTGAAACTATGATCCTCCCAATCTCTCTTTCCCACATAGCTGGGATTACAGGTATGATCCATCATGCCAGGCTTTAACTTGTTAAACCTGTATCAGAATCATCTGCTCTGCTTATTAAGTGTGCAAATCCTGCTAGGCACTGATGGCTCACACCTGTAGTCCTAGCTACACAGGAGGCTGCAGCTCAGGAGGCTGAGATCAGAGGATCGTGGTTCGAGGTCAACCTGGGAAGGAAAATGTGTGAGAGACTCTTATCTCCAATTAGCCACCAAAAAAGCCAGAAGTGGAACTGTGGCTCAAAAGAGGTAGAGCACTAGCCTTGAGCACAGAAACTCAGGGACAGCGCTGAGGCTCTGAGTTCAAGCCCCATGATTGGCCAAAAAGAAAAAAAAAGTGCAGATTTTCATATCACACCCCAAGGTGCAGAACTAGATCTAGAGGAGATAGGAAGGACTTTACATTTCTTCCCCTCCCAACTCTCCCCCCACCCCCACCCCCCACCCTACTAGGGTTTTAACTCTGGGCCTCCAGCTCATTTGACTTGCTGGTGCTCTACCATTTATAGCCTGACTTCTTGCTGATTTTTTTGGACATGCAGTTTCCTAGAATTTTCTGCCCAGGCCAGCTTCATACCTTGATCCTCTGGATCACAGCCTCCTGAGTAGCTAGGATTACAGACATAATCCTGCCAGAGTCTGGCAGGATTTGCATTTTTAATGAGTCTGGCTGGGAAATGCTCATTAGTGACTTCTGGAATAGGTCTGTACTTCTTTTTTTTCTTTTTTCTCTGTTTGGTTAGATTGATTTCTGGGAACTTATATTTCCCTTTTATTTTTCTAGCTTTGCTTTGTGTGTTTGAAATCTCCATCATTCTGTGCATAGCAGTGTCATGATGCTTTTCCCATGGCGTGTACCTTTTACCGATATGAATGAATGTATCACTCTCAGTATCATTTATTCCAATTTAAAAACATCGGTGGCAGCCGGGCATGGTGGCACACACCTGTAATCCTAGCGCTCAGAAGGCTGAGGTAGGAGAATTGTAAGTTCAAGTCCAGCCAGGGCTACATGGTCAGGTCAGGGCCACCCAGTGTTCCATAGCAAAGCCATATCTCCAAACCAAACAGAAAAAGAGATAAGAGGGAAGGTGAACCTTTCAGTCTTGGGGCTTTCTTTAACCCTGGAAACCTTTCATTTGTTATTCTTATTATTTTCTGTTCTCATTTCTGTTTATCCTCCTATTGGACAGGAGCTCTGCTTTACATCTCTTAGCTTTTCCTTCAGACTTTTTGTCTTTAAAATAATTTGTTTCTTTCGTACTATGCCCTTATTAGAATCAGTTTGCGTACCCTGTGGCTCTCTCTGCTACTTAATTTATTTTTGTACAAATGTTCACGCTACAAAGTTTTCCTGTTCCTTTTTCACAGGTCATAGACTCTCTCCTGTGTCCCTAGGGTGTTCATTTTCTGTGTGCTCAAGTTGTCTTCTACTAAACTCTCTTTCACTGGGTATTAGTTGTCTTGTAATTAAATCAGTTACATTTGGTGCCTACATTTCAGGGTGATGATTTCCTGGGGTGTTTGGTGAGTCTCAGTTGCTTGCTTGACTCTGCATGAGGGGGTATCCCATGACCTCCTCCTGTCCCGGGGTAGGTGGGGGGCTCGGACCCTCCTCCAGGGGTGGGAGCTTCCCCCCCCAACTCTGGGATGGTTCCCTCCTTACCCTGGTGCCCATATGACAGCTTCGGCCTTGGGTGAGCAGCGCTGGTGGAGTGGCTGAACTGGTAGAGCAGCTGCCTGGCAAGTTCAGCCCCCAAGTCCCCAGTATAAGAATAAAATTAGCCAGCTAGCCATGGAGCTCATCCTCTAGTTCGAGGCCCTCTGTCCGTTGTGACAGAGGCTGGCACTCGGTGGCTGTCTCAGAATGGATGGCACAGCTGTGATCGCAAACACCTGGCTTTTGCTGATCACCTGGCTTTTGCTGATGGCCCGTTCTGGGCCCGGCAGCAGCCCAGATGACAGGTAGGCAGCGCCGGTCCATCCAGCCTCCGCTTAGGCTGCTTTTCAGGAGCAGTTCTTCTAGCAATTTCCTTAAACCTTGTTCTAACTCTCCATGTGGAGGTGGACGGGGGGGGGGGGGGGGGGCGGGGAGGAAGGACAGGTGGCATCCGGGCCAGCCACCTGCCTGTCCCCCCTCCCCCCCCCCCGCCCCCCGCCCAGAGGGTTTTCAACGTGGAGACGACGTGCACTTAGCGTTTGAAACACTGACACGGCGTAGAACAAGGTTTCAAAGCAAACCTTTTGAAGTCAGTTTTCAGAGAAATTTCTGGAAGATGACATCCAAGCACCCCGTGGGTCCCACAGCGTGGGGCCCCTTTGAAGTGGGGGGTGCACTGGTTTCAAAGCCACCAACTCCTGGTCCTTCTCTTTGCAGACAGAACTGTCTGTCTGCTTCTGTTTCTCTCTCTGTCTCTGTTTCTCTCTCTGTCTCTGTCTCTGTATCTCTCTCTCTCTTTTTCTCTCTTTCTCTCTCTCTCTCTCATTGCTTCTTTGCCCAGCTCTTCTCCTCTGCCCTTGGAACAGATGGGTTTCTGTCACGTGAGCATCTCCAGGGCCTCTCTTCCCAAAGTCTCACTCACCTTGTGTGAGCCAGTAGATTCTTTTCCTTTGTAAAGAAGACACTAACCAGGGAGAAAAATACAACAGAGGGGTCCATCAACGCTACTGGATGTTGATGAAAATGAACCAAGCAACTCAAGGGCAGCGATGGGAGGGAGGGAATGAGAGGGATAGAGGGAACAGCTAACACTAAGCAAAAGGAAAGAAATGTACCTATCACCCGATGCAGAAGAAATAGCTGTATTGTCAAAGCTTATAGAATTCACAAATTTTATAGACCTAGATAATGACAATTTGCCTTGTGAAGGTGAAAATGTGTTTGTGACTTTAACTAAGTATCACTATCCTACAATACTGTGAAATTTATGTAATCACTTAATCTCAACAAAGCATTATTAAAAAAAAAAAAGAAGGCACTAGGTATATGGAACCTAGGCTTGGTTTCTTGGTGTTTTTTTAATGTGTATTTTGTAAATACAGTTATACCTCTAAATTTACATTAATTTAATAGAAGCAAACGAAATCAAGTTGAGACAGAAGGAATTAGGGAAGTTCAGATTTCCTTTTCATGAGAAGTAGTCTTTGTGAAAATACCCAGCAGCTTCTTAAATTATGAACTAATGGGAAGAGGTGGGAATTATTTTTGCGTATGTGTCCATCCTGAGGCTTGAACTCAGGGCCTGGATGCTGTCCCTAAGCTTTTTTTTTTTTTTTTTGGGTCCAGTCGTGGGGCCTGAACTCTGGGCCTGAGCACTGTCCCTCAGCTCTTCAGCTCAAGGCTAGCACGCTACCACTTGAGCCACAGTACCACTTCTGGCTTTTTTTTTTTTTTCTGCTTATGTGGTGCTGAGGAATCGAACCCAGGGCCTCAAGCATGCAAGGCAAGCGCTCTACCACTGAGCCACCTTCCCAGCCCCTGTCCCTAAGCTTTTTTTGTTCAAGGTTAGTGCTCTACCACTTTGAGCCACAGCTCCACTTCCATCTTTTGGTGGTTAATTGGAGATCACAGTGTCTTGGACTGGGCTGGCTTTGAACTGCGATTTTTCAGTTCTCAGCCTCCTGAGTAGCTAGAATTATAGGTGTGAGCCAGTGGTGCCTGGCTTCTTTGGGATTTCATATTCAAAATGTGGTCTGGGGCCTGTCAGGCCTGCACACTCTCAGGCCTGTTTCAGATTCACTCAGTCAGAAAAATCTTGGCAGGCGACTTATTCCACTGTCTGTGTTCACAGCCCAAGAGCCAGAATGTCTCTCACATACGTACATGCAGACAGTTTCACACACACACACACACACACACACAGAGATATATATATATATATGTAAACTCACACATGCGTGTACTCACCCACAAATGTATATTTGTGCCTGCTTGTGTACGCCTGTGCACAGTTGCATGCCCACAACCACAGGCACACACACACACACACACACACATGCACGAAGCATATGTAGCCACACACACATACACGTGCATATACACAGACACACCTGTGGACATACACGTGCACTTGGGCACGCATACACACGTATGCGCACACACAGAGACATTTCGGGGATGCAAACATCGTAATTATCACATCACCGCCACTCCCCCACAGAGCTGAGCCCCGTTTCCCGGCCCTGCCCTTGCTCATCTTCAAAGACACGACAGCTCATGGGTTGAGATGTTTTTCATCATTAAATGTGCCTTTGGTGGGGAATCGGCTTTCCGCTCATGTACTTTCAAATCAATTTTTTTTTCTTCCATCAAGCATCATATGTTAGGCTTCATCTCTCTCCTTGGCTTTGGCAGGAGCTGAGGAAAAGCCTGGAAGCCTGCGGCTTGGATCCTCCACAGCAGCTCGAGGATCGCTCCAGCGATGAGGGCGACTCGATCGAAGAAGAGGTCCTTTCTTCAGAGACGGAGCCTGAGGATCCAGAGCCCGTGGCCTGGCCTGGAGATGATGTCCCTCTGTCCAGTGGGGACCCCACCCCCGAAGTCCATCTGGAGGACCAGGAGCTGGAAGGATGGCTTCCCAGGGCCAAGACACTGGTGGTGCTGGAATCGAACCCGCCCTCCATAAGTGAGCTCCGGCTGTGTGGCTAATCAGGGGGCATCCCAGTCTGTGTGTGTGTGGCAGGGGGGGGGGGTGTTCCAGTGTCAGCTCTGGTCAGGGACAGGGGTCCACCAGGCGTCTGTGATCACGAGTCCTAGAGGCTTCCCAGCAGCCCTGAAATTTCAGGTGGCGATCTTGTGCCAGGGCCTGCAGGGCTGCCCAGTGCCGCCTCTGTTGCCAGTTGGCAAATGCAGGGTGGTTGATGCTACAAGGGCTGTTGATTGGCTTTCATATCTGACACTCCAGACTCCCCTCCTCTCCCCTCCCCACCTTCTTCTCTCCTCTCCTCCTGCCTCTCCCCTCCCCTCCCCTCCTTCCTTGCCCACCGCCTCTGCTTTCCTTGGCATCGGATCCAAACACCCAGAGGCCTCGACGGGAGGTGGTGGCCGTGGGACCCCATCACAAAGGGACTCTGTTTCCCTTCCCTACCCTCCCCGGTTCCAGCCAAAGCCCCAGGCCCACCTCTCAAGGCTGCATCAGGGCTAGACGCTGGTGGCACCCAAGGTTCAAACTTGGGGCCTGGTGCTTGCTCAGAAGGTGCTCTGCCACTTGAGCCATAAAGGGCACAAAAGTCCTCGGTGCTCTGGTTCTTTCTCAAATAAGGTCTCACTTTTTGCCTGGAGTGGCCCTGAGCAGGGTCCTCCTGCTCACACCTCCGGTGTGGTTGGGATGACAGGTACACACCACCAGGCCCAGCTTTTTATTGGTTAAGATGAGGTCGTGGACTTTTTTTTTTTTTTTGCCTGGGCGTATCTCAAATCACAGTCTTCTGGACACAGCTGGGCTGGGAGAGCCTGGAGGCAGCAAATCCATCTGACTCTGCTCTGTGCTTTCAGATGCTCTGAGTTGAGCTGGGAAGGCGGCTTAGTGGTAGAGTGCTTGCCTAGCATGCATGAAGCCCTGGGTTCTATTCCTCAGAACCACATACACAGAAAAAGCCATAAGTGGCGCTGTGGCTCAAGTGGTAAAGTGCTAGCCTTGAGCAAAAGAAGCTCAGGGACAGTGCCCAGGCTCTGAGTTCAAGCCCCAGGACTGCTAAAAAAATAAAAATCAGATACCCTGGGTTACCCCGCTCCTCAGAGTGGCACCCCACCCTCCCATTTAACCTATCAGATTGAGCCCACCCATTCTAACACTTGCCCCTACTTAGAAATGTACAAAAAGTGAACCCCTGGGTGTGTTCTAGCATATGTCATTCATTTCGTTTGTGGATTTTTGTGCTAGTACTGGGACTTGAACTCGGGGCCCTGTATTCTCGCTTGACTTTTTCACTCAAGGCTGGTACACTACCACTTGAACCACGCATCCGCTTGCAGATGGCATTTATTTTTATTTACGGTCTTGTGGGGCACAGCGGGCAAACCTGTCCAACGGTCTTCAGTTTTCCCCCAATCTGGATTCCAGGCCCCTGAAACGGAGTAGGGCAGTTAAGTGTTTGTTGAATGACTGAAGAAACAATAGTCAAGTGGTTAATATGTAAACAATTGTCTCCTCCCCCACCCCCCCAGGTAATAAAAGGGAAAGGAATTTGTCTGCCAAGCGGAAAGACAATGCCGAGGTCTTTGTTCCTAGCAAACCTGAGCCCAGCGGGAATGCACAGCCCGCCACTGTGTTCTCCAACCAGGAGAGGCCAAGCTCTAGTAAGAAGGGTTGGGGGGGGGGGGGCTGATCTGGGGCTGGGGACTCACAATGGGGTGCTGTGGTGGGAGGCCCCACTTCCTTGGCCTGGCTTCCTTACCCTCTTCACTAGGGCTGAGTTGCCCTCAGCCAGTGTATCACTCCAGAGAAACAAAACCAAGAGTGCAGGGGATGGGTATGTATAAAGAGAAGGAGATTGTGGGAAGGCCTTCAGGTACAGTTGGATCCAGGTGATTGTAGTATGTCAGAGTACTCCTCTCTCCCCTGGTTAGTGCCAGTCTGAGACTGAAGGGCCAGCTGGCAGGAGAGGGGAGCCTCTGGGCTGGGACAGGAGAGCCAGGGCTCAGCCACTGGGGACTCTGGCTTGTTGTGTGGCTGGGGCAGGTCCTGAGTCTGTCACTAACCAAAGAGACAGGAAGGCAGCCAGTCCTGGAGGTGGGATCTGTGTATGGACAGGGCTTGTGTGTCTCAGCCCGGCAGGGTGGTTCAGTCCCTGTGAGCTGGTGCCTGGTGAGACCAGTCAAGCAGCAGGCTGGTGCCTGGGAGGAGGTGGATCAAGGTCATAACCTTGGCAGGTCACAGAGGTGTGGCAGTGTGGCTCAAGTGTTAGAGCCCTAGCCTTGAGCCGAAGAGCTGAGGGACAGCGCCCAGGCCCAGAGTTCAAGCCCCACAACTGACAAAAAAGAATAAAAGAAGAACATTGCCCGGTGCTGGTGGCTTATGCCTGTCATCCTAGCTACTCAGGAGGCTGAGATCTAAGGATCGTGGTTCAAAGCCAGCCTGGGCAAGAAAGTCCATGAGACTCTTATCTCCAATAAACCACTCAGGAAACTGGAAGTGGCGCTGTGGCTCAAGTTGGTAGAGTGCTAGCCTTGAGCTGAAGAGCTGAGGGACAGCAATCAGGCCCAGAGTTCAAGCCCCAAGACCCACAAAAACAAAAACCACAGCAAGGTAGGAGTGACTTGGGGTGAAGGGATGAACCACTCACCACTCACTATCTTTCTGATCACACTGGGAGGGAGCGGAGAGGCCCTGAGAGGAAATGTCTGTTTGGTTTTTATTTTTCCTTTTATTTCTGTTCCAGTCCTGGGACTTGAACTCAGGGCCTGAGCTCTAGCCCTGAGCTTTTTCACTCAAAGCTAGCACTCTACCACGGGAGCCACAGCTCCACTTCCAGCTTTTAGATAGTTAACTAAAGACTCTCCTGGACTTTCCTGAAGGCTGGGCAGTGGATGCAGTATCTCCTTCAGCTAGGGGCAACCTTGCCCCTCCAGGGTGGAGAATCAGGTCATGGCTGGGTTTCCCTGGGGTCAGGGGTCTGGTTTGGAGGGAAATGTGAGTTGAAGTTGGGACATGGTATGGAGGGAGCCGAGATGGTACAGGCACTGGAGGACTGGAGCCCTGAGATGTCTGAGAACAGCTCCGCCCACACTCTCCTCTGGGCAGATGGGGGGCTGGGCTGGGGGGCTGCTCACACCCTGCTTTGTACTGGGGGAAGGGCTGTGGGGTTTGGTGCCCTCACAATTAGACCTGGCACATGGCGCCTCCCCTCTTCCATGAGTGTAGTCGACTTTGGAGTGGCTTCCGTCTTAGTACTCTTTGAGGCAGAGCAACTCAGCTCTCCTTGGTACTACTTCGTTTCCCCCCGTCTTTTCACTTTCACATCAAGCGGAGTTCTCATCTCTCTCTGTTAAGGCCTGTCACTGTGTGAGCCGCGCCTAATGGCTTTTATTTTTCTCCTCTGACAATCTGTGTGCTTTCCACGGGAGCATTTAGTCCATTTACGTTTAATGTAATTGCCCATCTCTCTCTGCGTGTACATCCACTGTCTTCCTGTCTGCTTTGCGTTCATCCCGCCTGGTTCACTTCCCTCCTGCCCCCTTCTCTTGCCTGCCTCCTTCTGCACCAGTGGCCGTGGCTTATTCCTCGTTAGTTATGCATTCTTTTATTATTCTTTTAGTCGTCACCAGAGACTACACCATGCATGTTGGGCTTATTGGAGTCTACTTGGGATTCACAAATTTACCATCTCCCAGACAGCTCCCATTTCCCCCTCCCAACTTAAATGCATTGCCAGGAGTTTTCATTCCATCGTTGTAATTATTATTATTATTATCATCATCATTATTATATTATTACAGTCGTGTGCCCCTCACCCCAGAGATTGTGACAAAGTCTGCTTCTTTTCCCAGCTCTGCGACTGCCATCACCAGAATCCCTGGCACTGGGAGGTGTCAGGTGCTGGTTCCCCTCTCCTGCCTACTCCTGTCCTCTCCACTGCCTGCCTATTGCCTCCTCCCCCCCTCCACCCCCCTCCCTGATTGTTGGGCTTGAACTCAGGGCCTAGGCGCTGACCCTGAGCTCTTTGACTCAAGGCTAGCACTCTACCACTTGGAGCCACAGCGCCACTTCTGCTTTTCTGGTGGTTTATTAGAGATGAGAGTCTCATGGACTTTCCTGGCAGGGCTGGCTTCAAACTGCGATCCTCAGGTCTCAGCCTCCTGAGTAAGCTAGGATCACAGGCGTGAGCCGCTGGCACCTGGCCTGTTTCCTTTTTAACACCTTGCTGCCAGAGTTGTGTAGTATTTGGTTTAGGTTTCCTTCTTGCGCTCCAAAGAAGGATTCGTGTGAATGAGACCACCTGCCATTCCACAAGTGTCACCTGTCACCTGCACTCTCCAAAGAGTTCTTCCCCCTCACCCCCTTTCTCAGCAGTTCCACTAGTGTCTGTGAAGTGTGTGTGACCCCTACTATCACTCCATCTCTCCTCTCTCTGTCTCTCTCTGTCTCTGTCTCTGTCTGTCTCTGTCTCTCTTTCTCTCCATGGGTACCGTCTAGGGCTCAGGTTCACTGTCTCAATCCAGTAAAGAATTGAAAGGAAGAACATGGAACACAGGATAAGAAGCAGAGAGCTTCACCACAGGAGCCAAAGTCAGGGAGAGAAAGTCACCGACTCCGACTAGAGCCAGACAGGAAGAGTCGGGAGGAGAGGGGAGGCCTGGGGAAACTGAGGAAAAGCCTCTTAGCTATTGGCAGGTTAGTATAAGCCCCCAACTTGGACTTCTGACTGGGAGAGCTGCCTTGTGCCTCCGGCTTCCCAGGAGGAGGAAGAGGGAGAGGAGGAAGACGATGAGGTAGGGGGAGGAGGGTTCAGACTTTTAGGTGTAAGAGAGTGAGTAGTGAGGCCTGGAACTCGGGGACCCCCCCCCGTCAGCTCATGGGGGTCCTCTTATTTAGTCCTTAGGCAAATCTCAGAGGATCTGGCATCTGGTTGAGTTCACCCCCCCACTCCACGAGGAGGGGACCCTAGCCCCTGAGGGGGTCCCCTCAGAGTCTTGGACGCCTTTACTTTCTCAGAGCCGTGATCTCGACTTTCCCTGGGACAGGGGAGGAGGGGAATGTCACCATCCCCAGTCCTCTCTTGAGATCCAATGTCCTGTGGTGCCCAGTCTTTGTCCCCAAGCCTTTGGAGCAACTTCCTTCCGAGGAGGGGCCGCGCCGTGCGGGAGGGGAGAGGGATGGCCGTATGTAGTGCAGAAGGCCTGCACTCGGGGTTGTCGGGGAATGATGGACCGGAAGCTGCCATCCTTAGGTACAGAGGCACACTCGTGGCGTGGCGAAGTGGAATTAGGCCCTCAGCGGCAGAATCAGCATTCCTGCAGCGCAGCCGGCATGATCTCAAAACCCAGTGTCTCCCAATGCACCGGTCAATGTCCACTAGCAGCTGGTGATGGAAATTTGAAAGGGCTCAGGTCACAGAGGACACGGATCACTCAGGACCTCAGAAGTCCCCGCGCTGTCGATGCAGCCTCAGGCATGGTGGGATCCAGGTGCACGTGCAGTATCGCTGGGAGGCCGCTTCAAGGCCGGTGGTTCTCGGATTTGGACCTGCATGAGAATTATCAGCAAAGCCAAGGAAAACACCAAGGACGGGATCGAAGCCCCACGCCTTCCGACTCAGTGGGCCTGGAAGTGGGGTGTGACGCGCATCTTCAGCACCTCACAAGCTCCCTGACTTTTCTGACCCTGAGATGCTTGGGGAGCCGCAGGTCCCTCCGCTGACAGCGGGGCATCGCCTCCATGGCCGTGGCCCGAGAGGCTTTCCCAGAGGGAAAAGCAAGATCCCTTCCTATGCGAAGATGGCCCATGAGCTCCCTGGTCACCATGGCAAAGAAGCACCCGCGGTGTGAGGATCAGAGCAGCTCCAGCCGCTCCTGCTGCTCTTGCTTCATAGGTCAGGGTTAACAGGCACCTGCCTGCACAGAGACCCCAAACAATGGCAAGCCAAGTAAGCCAGCCACCTGCCCATGGCGGGCAGTGCCTGTGCCCACGGTGGGGCTGCGCCACCCCACGGGCCTTGTTAACCTCACACCGGACTCCACGGTGACAGTTCCCTAGCGAGCTGGCCCGAAAACTCACAATCCTGCCTCAGCCTTCCCAGTGCTGGGACTACAGGCATGCGCTACCCTGCCCAGTTTCAGGCAGCTTTTCGGGAGATGTCAGGAACCTCATCCCAGTTTTTTGGATTTCGTTTTTGTTTTTTGAAGCTTGTGGTTGCCTAGCAAGTATGAGGCTCTGAGTTCACACCCCAAAGAAGCACACACACACATGCGCGCGCACACACACACACACACACGCGCACGCACACACACGCACACACACCCTCCAAAAAAAAGAAAAGTATAAAAGACATACAACAGGCGGTTCCCCCCCAGCATTTAGATTTCACATTGGCCGTTTTGACCTCTGGGGTGGTGGGGGGACCCGATGGGGGGGGGACTCTGGGACTCTGAATTGGAGCTTTGGCAGTCACAGCTTGGGAGAGGGGCGGCTCACCCCGTGGGTTTGTGACCTCATCTTCTTAGTGACCCCGTGTTGCATTCATGGTTAAATGTCCCCGATCGATCGGCCTGTTGTTCGCCTATGAGACGGAGAAGGCCCAGCACCAGGAAAGCAAAGCACAGTGCAGTTATGAGAAGAGGGATGCTTCACAACCAGAAAAGAGCAGTCGGGGATAAATTAAAATGTGCAATTTGGCGGTGGCTGGTGGCTCAAATTCACCGCGTGCATAAATCGGCCATTGTGCCCATCTGCGGAGAAAATCAATCCGCTTTCCCTGGCGTCCGCCCCCGGGTGAGGTACGAGGGTGTCAGAAAGAGTTAACAGGCCGCTTTGCAGGAACAAGCACTGCAGGGGGGCGGGGGGGGGAATGGCCATGTGGGGTGGACCATGTGTGAGGGAAGGGGGGGGTTGTTTCTGGGAATCCAGGAGCGGGGACAGCACGGGGCCTGAGCCGCAGCGCTGACCTTCACTCCGAGAAAGGGTGATTTCATTTGGAAGCACATCATCTTAGCATATTATAACTCAGCACACGCAGCCCCCCCCCACCCCTCACCCCCGGGGGCCGCTGCCGGCCTGGCACACACACAAGAAAGATGCTGACAGGGGAGGTGGCTTGTCCATGGTCCTCGCTGAGAAGGGCTGAGTGCAGGGCCCGTGGCCAAGGACAGCGCGTCCCCCGCCCCTCTGGCGCCCAGGGCTTCCCCGGTCATCTCGGGGCCACTGTCTCTCTGCCCAGCTGTGGACCTCTGTACCCCCACCCTGGAGAAAGGCCCCTCGCCCTGCAAATCAGCCAGACAGAGGGGGAGAAAAAGGCCAGGGTCAGCTTGTTGCTCTTTTGGGGAGCTGGTTTGATCAGTTGTGATGCGTGGGAAATGGAGAGGAGCTCATGAATTTCACATTCTGCTCATCCTGGCACCACCGAGCCTCCCTCCCTCCTTCCCCCCTCCCTCCCTCCCTCCTTCCCTCACTAGAGCAGTGCCAAGGGTGCTGGGCACCGCTGTCTTCTGTGGGGGCCGCCTCTGCTCGGGGGCCGCCTTGCCCGGGTACAGCTGCTCCAGGCAGATGTGTGTTTTACATGCTTGCAAGTGCTCCCGGGTCCAGGTCTGCAAGGGAAGTCACTTCCCATCTTCCCGTCTGACAAACGGGATGATGACAGGTGCGGCACCGGAGCAGGAAGCAGCGTGTGGGAGTCACCGTGGAGCTGAGGCCTTTGGGGTCCCCCGGGCTCCAGGCCCCATCCTCACGGCTGGCCATTCTCTCCCTCGCACCCCATACACCCCATTTCAATCCTCCCCCTCCCCCGGGGGCCTTGGCACCTGCTGTCCCCAAAGCCTAGAGCAGCAGATACTCACAGGACTCCCACGCCTGTGGGCCTCCACTCCCACGTCCTCTTCTCAAATGTCCCCCCCCCCACCCTGCCCCCAGCTTTACCCTGTGCTCGTGCCTGGCCCCCTCTGCCTAGGAGTGTGAGGTCAATGAGGGCCAGGCCTGGGCTGGCAGTGCCCAACTCAGTAACCCTGTGCTCAGGGGAGCATCTCAGGCCCGGCCCTCAGCTTGCACCCCTCCCTTTACCAGCCAGTCCTGGAGGCCAGGGAGGGAGGATTCCAGTACTGGGGCTTGAACTCCATACCCAGGCGCCATCCCTGAGCTTTTTTTACTCAAGGCCGGCACTCTACTACTCGAGCCATAGCCCCACTTCTGGTTTTTTGTAGTTTAGTCAGGGTTAGAGAACCACGATCCTCCGATCTCAGCCTCCCGAGTAGCTAGGATTGCAGGCAGGAGGGACCAGTGACCACCGTTCAAAGCCGAGCTCGGTGCAGGACTGTCCACGGGCATCTGCGTGGCCGTAGTTGGCTTTGCCAGGCTCTGCTGGACAGAGTCACTTCCCAGCCCTGCCCCTGGGCAGCCATGGAACGTGGCTCGGGGCCTCTCCCTCCAGAATCCAGAGCAGCTGTTTACCTGGCATTCGCCCGTGGGGGGTACAGAGTCACTTAGAGAGGAGGTGGGGCACGTGGGAGGGTTCGAAGGTGCAGGGGCAGCTGGCAGAGCCAGAATTCTTGCAAGAGCCACGTGAACGTATGTTCATGTGGAAGTATGTTCTGTGCGAGTTCGATGTCATATTTGTAATATTGGTTGGGAGTAGCTTACATACACATTGATATGCACACACATCTGTGCGTGTACACACAGCTCTCTTCTCCCTCTGCCCCCAGCAGTTCTCAGAGCCAAAGAACAGGGCAGTCATTCTGCAGGGCCACGGTCCACGGGTGAAATTCGGGATGCTCAGCATTAATGCAGCATTGTCATCTAGGCACCAACACTATTGGAATTTCTCCGTGGCCTACAACAACATTCTGTCATGGGGCTTGAACTCAGAGCCTGGATGCTGTCCCTGAGCTCTTTTGCTCAAGGCGAGCTCTCTACACTTGAGCCACACCTCCACTTCTGGTTTTCCAGTGGTTCATTGGAGATCAGAGTCACCATTTTCCTACCCAGGTTGGCTTTGAACCACGATCCTCAGATCTCAGCCTGCTGAGTAGCTAGGATGACAAGTGTGAGCCATCAGTGCCCAGCTTACGACAGCATCCTTGTTTTTGTTTTGTCTTGTTTTTTGGTGGTACCGAGGACTGAACTGGGGACCTCCACTTCCTAGGCCGGCCACACCCTGGCCACTCCAGCCACACCCTGCTGTGCGAACCACACCCCTGGAGCAGAGCCACACCCCTAACATGTGGGCCCTGCCGCTGCCACACAAGCCACACTGTGACCCTTCTATAGTGCTGTCCCTTGTCTCTCGGTATGACAGCTGCCCACAGCAGAACCCAGCCATTGGCTAACCTTGAACTTTGATCCCTGGATCTCTTCCTCCCTAGTAGCTAAACCACAGGTCTGAACGCCCACACCCACCCATGATAGGCTCCTGACAGCTCAGGGCGCTGGTCTGGGCATCCACTGCACCGCCCACAGGCCCGTCAGTCTCCCTCCATCTAGACCAGTCCTCCAGGATCTCTGTCTTTCCGGCCCTGACCTTGTCGTCCTGGAGGGCGCTGTGTCTTCTTCGCACACAGTCCAGGGCTAGAGGACACTCTCCAAAGGGAAGTCCTGCTGTTTGCTTCCCCAGGACCCAGCAGCCGGTGGGAGAGGCCCCTGTCAGCAACCCGCAAAGCCACGTGCACGGCGGAGGACCGCCAGGAGGAGGCGTCAGCCGTGCTGAGAGCCATCCAGGTGGAGAACGCCGCCCTGCAGCAGGCCTTCCTGGGCAGGAAGGCTGAGCCCCCCAGCAGCCCTCCGCAGGTGCGTGCACCCAGGCCCCAGAGCCATGGAAGATGGGGAAGAGCAAGGCCAGGTTCCGCTCTGCACTCCTGTAGCCCAGGCCCTGGCCCGATTCCCTGGTTCCTGGAGCCCCTGGCTCCAGATGTGGCCTAGGAGGTACAGAGAAAGCCTGGCTGCTAGATCTTCCCCTGGGAGCGTGCAGTGGAGGTCTGGTCCCCTCCTCGCATCCAGACCATGGGCCAGGATGCTGGACGCTATCAGCAAACAGCATGAACCAAAGTCCAGTGCCACATGCACAGAGCCCCGCTGTCTCTGGGCGCATCCCTTCATGTGGTCCCAGTGAGTCCTCGGGCCTCTGTGTGTCTAGACCTTTCTGCGCCTTTTGCAGGCAAAGAGACCAGGGCTGGAGTGCTTTGTCCAAGGTTACAGGCTTGGTTTTTTTTGCTTGTGTTTTTGTTTTCAAACCCCAGTATTGGGATTTGAACTCAGAGCCTCATATTCAGCTTGGCTTTTCTATTCAAGGCTGGTGCTCTACCCCTTGAGCCATGCCTCCAGCCCTTTTTGCTTTAGTTTTTTTTGTTGTTGTTTGTTTTTGTCAGTCGTGGGTCCTGAACTTTGGGGCCTGGACGCTGTCCCTCAGCTCTTCAGCTCAAGGCTAGCGCTCTACCACTCGAACCACAGTGCCACTTCCAGCCTTTACTGCTTATGTGGTGCTGAGGAATCGAACCCAGGGCCTCATGCATGCAAGGCAAGCGCTCTACCACCAAGCCACCTTCCCAGCCCCAAGTTTTGTTTTTGTTTTTAAGGTAGGGTCTCACATTTACGTGTAGCCTGGTCTGGACTCACAGTCTTCCCAAGTAGCTGGGACTACAGCATGTATCACAACACCCGGGCTGCTAACCTAGGTTTCACAGGCTTTTTCTCCTCCTCAGCTGCCTCGCTCCACGCCGATGACCACAGCCCAGGAGCCAGCCAGGGCAGCTGGAGGCGCCCAAGCCATCAGCCACAGTGACACCATCGGCCTCCTGGGAAGCAGGTGCCCGCCCCTCGGAGCCCAGGGAGGGCAGCAGGGCAGGGCAGCGGGCACGCAGTACCCGGGGTCTCCTTTGCTTTGCTTCTCTTTTCCACATGACCTGCCCTCCCTCACAGACTTGAGCCCCAAAGCAAGGAGTGTGTGTTTGATTTTGTTAAGGCAAATGGCCTGTGGCCCCCTCATTTTGGTCTCCCAAGCCCACTCGAGGCTTCCACGGCAGGGTGGTGAACTGGCTCCCCAGTGGACGTGGGCCACAGTGGCCCCGAACGGTTCTTTAAACTCATTTTTTCTCTAGTGTAGTGAGATCAGAGGTAACACCCGGGCCCGTTCACGTCCAACCTCAGGCCGAGGGGTCACCAGGCTTCCTTATCAAAATAGACACCGCCCCCCCACCCCCTGCCAGATCTTCGGGGAACGTTCATCCTCAGAATGATGCACCAGCTGGGGCCTGTAGGCCCGCTCTCATCTGGGCACACAGGCGCACTACTGGGGCCGCCATGCCCAGTGGAGCAGGCTGTGCACGGTGCAGAGTGCCCGGCAGAGGGGGAGAAAGGGGGCCGTGGTGCAGCCGGCACGCTGGTCACCCAGAGTCCCCGACCCGCGGCTGCGGTGGTCCAGAATGTTGGGGAGCTGCTCTCCTTCAGCATGAAGGAGGAATTTACTGGCCCTGAGCGGACCCCCCCCCCAGGCCTGGATCCACCCCAGGGGGAACTCTGTTTACTACGTGTCAAAAACATAAGTAGGCGCGAGGCAGAGCCAGACATTCTCACGGACCCCAAGTGGAAATCGCACTTACCAGGCCCTCGCGCACGCAGCTGCCGACATAAATAAGGGCTCACAATCCCTAGGCCCTGGGTAGATTTTAACAGCCCCGTAAAACACGTAAAAGCTAGCCAGGTGCCGCTAGCTCACGCCTGTCATCCTAGCTACTCAGGAGGCTGAGATCTGAAAGATCGCAGTCCAAAGCCAGCCTGGGCAGGAAAGTCCCTGACACTCTTACCTCCAATAAACCACCGGGAAACCAGAAGTGGCATTGTGGCTCAAGTGGTAGAGTGCTTGCCTTGAGCTGAAGAGCTCAGGGACAGCTCCCAGGCCCAGAGTTCAAGCCCCACTACTGACCAAAAACAAACAAAAGCTGTTCATAGCTGGCAGGTCATCCAGAAACAATCCTTGCAGGCTGGGTTTGGCTTGCAGGCATCAGTTTGTCACCTTGCTTCCGTGGTGCTCTGATCTCCTTGCTAATGATGCAGCTGTTCATTGCTTACTTTGGGGGGCTGGTCCTGGGACTTGATCTCAGGCCCTGGGCACTGTCCCTGAGCATTTTTACTCAAGGCTAGCGCTCTACCACTTGAGCCACAGCTCCATTTCTGGCATTTGGGTGGTTCACTGGAGATAAGAGTCGCACAAACTTTCCTACCAAGCTGGTTTCCAACCGTGATCCTCAGGTCTCAGCCTCCTGAGTAGCCAGGATTCCAGGCATGAGCCACCAATACCCAGCCATGCAGCTGTTTCTTAAGCAAGGGGCCGGGTGTCTGGCCGCTCAGAGCTGCGTGTAGGACATGGTCTCGCTCAGTAATGGCCACTTCTCCTAGTGGAGAAGAGTCAGCCAGGCACCTTGGAAGATGTTGTTGTCCTTTGTGGGTTGTTTGCTGCTGCCTTTTGCCGAAACCAAACCTCATTTCAGGCAACCGCAGAACCTTCTGGAAGTCCTGCAGGCTGCTGACAGTGACTCTGCCCCTCTGCCCAGGGCTGGTGCAGCGACAGACAAGCAAGCACTGGTGCCACAGGTAAGGGCCAATCCCAGGGGCGCCCAGACCCCTTGGTGCAGTCTCCCTGCCTCCTCATTTGGGGTAATGGACGCAGAGAAAGAAAGCTTGAGCCCGAAGTTTCTAGAGTCAACCTGTGTGAACCAGAGGAAACATAAATAGTGGGTACATAAACCCATACTCCACCCCCCAAAAAAACCCCAACACACACTTGAAAGTAATAGAAATTATGTCTGAGTGGGGCCAGTGGTGCGTACCTATAATCACAGCCACCTAAGAAGCGGAGAGCAGGAGGATCATGGCTCAAGATCAGCCCAGGCAAAAAAAAAAAAAGACCCTTATGTCAACAAATAAGCCAGGCATGGTGGTCCAGGTCTGTAGTCTCGGTGCTTGGGAAACATAGGTATCACAGTCTTATGGGCAATTCAGACAAACATCAAGAGACCTTGTTGGAAAAATAACCAAAGAGGGCTGGGAATGTGGCTTAAACAATAGAGTGCTTGCCTTGCATGCATGAAGCCCTGGGTTCGATTCCTCAGTACCACATAAACAGAAAAAAGCTGGAAGTGGCGTTGTGGCTCAAGTGGTAGAGTGCTAACCTTGAGCACAGAGAGGCTCAAGTGTCCAGGCCCTGAGTTCAAGCTGTAGGACTGGCAAAGAAAAAAGGGCTAGGGGTGTGCTTTGTGGTAGATCATCTACCCACCTAGCAAGTCCAAGGCCTTGAGTTCAAACCCTAGAACCACTAAGGAAGAAGAGAGGGAGGGAAGGAACGAGGGTTGGAAGAAGGAACGAAAGACTAGAGCAACTTTAGTACTCTCTGACATCCGCCTTAGCAAGTTACTTTGGGCAATGACCTCTAATGCTGTCAAGGTCGCAGGGAAGCTGGGCGGGTGTCACAGGGTCAAGACAGCCGCAGAGCCGGACAGAGTGCACTTGAAGCAGAACGGCTGGACCCGAAGGCCTTAGGAAGGTGTAGGTGTCCCGGGCCGGCGACCTGCTGCCTGGGCCTTGGATTCTCTGCACAGCTGTGTGTACAGAAAGGCCGAATGCAGGGGAATGTAGGAGTTGCCTACAAATCTCCAGAGAGCCAAGCTAGTATGGGAACAATGCCACACTTCCACACACCACACTAGAGGACAAAGGATCGATGGCTAAGAGGATTAGACAGCTAGGGAGCAAATAAAGCTAACTGCAAATGGCGGTACTGATTGTCATTGACCTAGTACGGCCTGTGAAGGTGTGCCTGGAGCTGGGGCATGAACTACCCCCGATGACAACCAGGGGGCCAGGTATGGTAGCTCATGCCTGTAATCCCACCTACTTGACAGGCAGCGTTTGGGAGGACCACAGGTTAAAGCTTACCTGGGCACGTTGGTCGGTGCACCCTGTTCCAAGCTGGGGTGCATGCCCAGCCCTGAGCCACCCTGTCAGGGTGGCTGAGGAAAGAAAAGGGATGAGCGACTTGCCTGGAAGATGGCCAGGTGGTCCTGGTCAGAGCGGGCCAGCCCCAGGGTGCTGTCATTCCCAGAGAGCAGCTCCACGCCAAGGCGCCATCCTACCGCGGCGTTCCAGGAGCTGATGGGTCTTCAGTGAGTCCACTCCCGGATTTGCTCCATTTAGAAACTTGCAGTCTGCACAGCAGGGGGTGGCCTGGCCAGGAACCCCCTCTGCAGGCCTCTCCCCTCCCCTCCCCCATCAACAACGGACCTAGACAAACAGCAGCCACTCCCAGCACTCTGCCTGTGTGTGCTGGGACGTTTGTCATTGTCCTGCAGGCCCAGGGAATGAAGGAGGGACAGACAGAGGAGGAGGGAGCCCAGGGGATCTAAAGGGATGCAGTGCTCCTGCTGGGAGCACCATGGAGCCGCTCTGCCCTCCTCCACCTGCCTCTCCTCCCTCCTACATCCCCCCCCCCCCACACACACATGGGCACATAGATTTGTGCCCCGCACCCAGGCAGACCCATGCCGGGAGCAGGCAGGCCCATGCCGGGAGCCATCACGCGTCTCGCTGGCTATTAATTAAAATCTAAGTGGGGAACAGTTGCTGTTCATTTTCCAGACTTCCTGCTCACAAACCAGCACAGATTTTCAATGCTAATTAACAGAGGGCCCCGTCACTCAGGGATGCACTATCTTGGAATGATTCGTGGCGACCTGCGCCTACAGTCCTGAGGGGTCGCAGGGAGCCGTGGCACAGGCCCGCTGCTCCTGATGGCAGATGCACAGCCTTCCCCGGGAAGGGGGCTGCCATCTAAACCAGCCAGGCGCCAGTAGCTCAAGTCTGTAATCCCAGCTACTCAGCTGAGATCTGAGAATCGTGTTTCAAAGCTAGCTCGGGCAGCAAAGTCCAAGAGACTCTAATCTCTAGTTAACCAGAAGAAGAAAAAAAAAGCTGGAAGTGGAGCTGTGACTCAAGTGGTAGAGTGCCAGCCTTGAGCAAAAAAAGCACTAAGGGATAGTACCTAGGCCCTGAGTTCAAGCCTTAGTCTAGCTCACGTGCACGCACGCACACACAAGCCTTAGTCTAGCTCACGTGCACGCACGCACGCACGTGTATATACACACACAGAGCTAAGCGGAACATGAGATGAAGCAGACCCCTTGGGGTGGGCACGGGCTGGGCACACAAGGGACCTCCTCAATGCTGATCTTTTGCTTAGGGTGGAAATTGTTGCCCACGGCACTTATTTTCCTAACCAGGTGGAGGGTGCCAAGTTGTCTTACTATACACAGACAGCCAGAGCCGCTGATTTGTCCAGTTCCGGGTGTAGGCGGGGCTTGCATCTGCCCCCCATAGGTGGATGGTGCCTTCCCTTAGTCTTCCCCCAGGTTCTGGGCCAGCATCCTGCTGGGCCTCTGTGGGTGCAATCATTTACAGGGAACACCATTGAGAGTGGGGTCCACCCCCAAGGCCTCATTTTAATTTATTCACCCTGTTAAAAGCCCTGCCCCCGCCCCCAACACAGTTCTATGTGTTCCGTACATTAGGGCTTCACCCTTGAGTTGGGGGGCGGGCGGGCACTGCACAGCCTATAACCCCGCAGCTGCTGTGGGACAGGTGGTTGCACATGCAAAGCCAGGTGCCTCTCTGGTCAGACCTGAGGCTTCTCAGATGATCTTTGCTTTCGTGTTTTTATTTTGTTGTGGTGATGAGGTTGAAACCCAGAGCTTTACGTGTGCTAGGCAAGCTCTTCACACTGAGCTGCTCGCACCCCACCCACCCCCACCCCCTCCCCCGGCCTAGTCACTACTACGTATATACTTATTAAAGTGTGTGTGTGTGTGTGTGTGTGTGTGTGTGTATACACGTGCTAGCACTGGAACTCGAACTCAGGACCTTGCTTGCTTCTTATTCTCAAGCCTGGCATTCTACTACTTGAGAGCCACAGCTCTCTACTGCCAGATTTTTGCTGGTTAATTGTAGGTAAGAGTCCCTCAGATGGGTCTTCCCAGGCTGACTTTGAACCTCCATCCTTGGATCTCAGCCTCCTTAGTAGGTAGGATTGGAGTCCATGCGGGCTTCTCAGTAGTCATAGGTGGCAAGGGGTTTCTGTTTTGGTGGTTCTGTGATTTGAATTCAGGCCCTTGGGACTTGCTAGACAGGAGCTCTACCACTGGAGCCATGTCCCCAGCTCTTTTTGTTTTTATTTGGTTTATTGTTGTTGTTTTGTCGGTTGTGGGGCTTGAACTCTGGGCCATGGGACTTGAACTCTGGGCCTGGGCGCTGTCCCTCAGCTCTTCAGCTCAAGGCTAGCCCTCTACCACTTGAGCCACAGCACCACTTCTGGTTTTCTAGTGTTAATTGGAGATAAGAGTCTCACAGACTTTCCTGCCCAGGCTAGCTTTGAACCACAGTCCTCAGATCTCAGCCTCCTGAGTCGCTAGGATTACAGCCGTGAGCCACCAGTGCCCAGCTAGCTTTGAGTTATTTTTTAAGGTAAGGTCTCCTGCTTTTTGGTCTGGGACCTTGATCCTCCTGTCTGCCTCCCACATAAATGAGCTGAAGGTGCACTCCCCACATACCCAGCTTTATCAGTTGAGAGGGGATTGGTTTTGCCTGGGCCTCAAACCACACTCCTGATCTCCATCTCCCAAGGAGCAGGGATTAGAGGCATGAGCTACCATACCTGGTGGCAGGTGCTATTCTAAGCCTGAGAAATAAGCCAGTGTAGGGCCTCCAAGAGGGGCAGGGAGCTGACCTGGGGCCCATCTCTTCTTCATCCCGTGGCATATTTGTCTCTTCAGGACACCGGGAGCTTGAATAGAGAAGAGACGAAGGATGCCATCCACGTGACCCTGGAGATCCTGTCCACCTGGGGCAGCGCCTCGCAGGTGGGACTCACGGAGGTCGAGTTCTTCGACCTGAGCCGCACAAAGCTGTACGTGTCCCCTCAGGATGTGGATGTGTGGAACTCGGCATCGCCCGGAGAGCTGGGCTGCCTGGTCAACAGGAACTTGGCTGTGAGTAGAAGGCGCCCTGCCCCGTTGGGCTGTGAGCTGGGGTTGCTGGGGCAGCTTTCTCTGCCCATGTGGAGTCTGCCCTGGGGTGCGGTGAAGGAGGCCAGGGGTCACCATCCTCCTTTCCAGCGGTGCCAGAGTGAGTGGTGCCCCCACAGGAGCCTCTGATGCACCCCAAACTCTTCCCCAGGCCCCCATCGCCCCCTTTGTCCACCTGCTTTCCACAGATCCTCGTGCCCTTATTCTGAGGATAAAGAAGGCCAGGGGCGTGGTCACAGCCCCGAGGCTGGCATGGGTGCATGCCCAGAGGGGTTTGCCTCCTGCACTTTCTATACCTAAGGGGGACCCCCGTACTGGGGCTTCAGCTAAGGGCCTTGTGTTCTCACTTGGCTTTTTCACCCAAGACGGGTGCTCTGCCACTGGACCCATCCCTCCACATCTGACTTTTTCAGTGGTTTAATTGGAGATACGAGTCTCACAGGCTTTCCTGCCCTGGGCTGGCTTTGAACTTTGGTCCTCAGATCTCAGCCTCCCGAGTAGCAAGGATTACAGGCATGTGCCACCAGGGCCCGGCTTGGGTTTTTTTTTGCTGGCTTCTAGAAGCATCCAAGGGGAGAGAAGATCAAGTTATCTGAGCCAAGATGTCCCCCATGTGGCTTCATGCCACCCGCCTCCAATAAACATGCGGCAGAGCCCCTGCCCTGTCCCTGGCTTCCAGTGGTAAATTGGCCACCCCAGGCCACTCCCATCCTGGACAGGGAGCTGCCATCCTGTGCCTCCATGCCTTGAAATCCTGAAAGGAACGAGACAGATCCCACGGCTGAGTGCCCTGGCCCTGGTCCCAACCAAAGCCCGAGCCAGTTCCTTTTCTGTTGGAGAATTTAAAAATTCAACAGGGTTTGACAAAAGGAAATCCAATGCTCTTGTTGCCAGGTTAATCCAAGAGCAGGTGCCGTGGCGAGGTCTGCTTCCTCTCCTCTCCTCGCTCTTTCCCCCTCCCAGCGTCCCTCCTGCCCCCAGCCATCTCCTCAAAGCTGATTAAGTTGATTAAAATAAAGCCCGCTGCGTTTTGAATTCCAATGGGTTGGCAGATCACCCCGGGGCCCGGGTGGCAGCTTTATGCAGGGACAAGAAGAGCCATCCAGATGGGTGAGATTGGAAGTGTCCTCCGCCCCGGAGACGCGACACGGGAGTCCCTGCGGGTTGTCTGTGGGAAGAGGCAGTGGCGTTGTCTGATGGCTCCCCTCTCCCGCTGGACTTGCAGAGCAAGAAGGACCCTGCCGTGTGGACCTGCCACTTCCACCCGCCACTCCAGCTCCGGTTCGTGATCCGCAACACGCTGCAGCTGCCAGACTTCAGGCTGGCGGAGATGAAGCTCTGGAATTACTGGGTGGCTGAAGGGGTGAGTAGCCAGCTTAGAGTGAGTGAGTGATTGATTGATTGATTGATTGATTGGCCAATGAGCACTCAAGGATTTCTTTTCTTTTTCTTCTCTTTTCTGAGGCTTGAACTCAAGGCCTTATACTCTTCCCTTAGCATTTTCACTCCAAGCTGGTGCTCTTCCACTTGAACCACAGCTCCACTTCTGACTCTTGGTTGGTTCCTTGGAGATAAGAGTCTTATGGATTTTCCTGCCTGTGTGGGCTTTGAACTGGGATCCTCAGATCTCAGCCTCTTGAGTAGCTAGGATTACAGGCATGAGCCACAATACCCAGCATACCAAGCAGTTTCTAAGAGCTCATGTGAGAGGGAGTGGGAATCCCAGGCCTAAGACACATTGCCAGTGGGGGACATTGGCCTACCCCCTTCCGCTCCCCCACCAAGCCACTGCTTACGTAAGGCACAGCCATCTGTTGGCACCATTTACTGGGGGCAGAAAAGCGCGAGCAAATACAGCTGTAGGTTGATTTGATTTAATATTCTCCAGAGAACGTTATTACTGTGTGTTTTGGAGGAGATAAAATGTGGAGTTTATAGGAAATATAGCTCAGCCCGGTAGACGCGGCTTGTTAATACAGTGTTTTGTCTATGGGAATCGGAGGAAGGAAAAGTTAAATGGGAAAAATAATCCAACCAAGCCTTCTTTAAGCAGGAAGGAAAAGAAGGTGCCGGAAAGCGAGGAGACTTTTAGGCTGGGAATGGGTCCGGTTAACATTTCTGGGCGCTTTCCCCCTCATGTAGACGGCCGGTGATTGTGAACGGCCCCAGGAACAGGGACCTGGGGAAGCAGAGTGAGGACCGGATGCCACACGTGGGCCTTGTGACTGCAGTGACTCCTGCAGACCAGGCCTGTGCGAGCCCCCCGCGGGTGCTCCACGTGGACCCGGGGTATGCACAGGTAACAGAGGAAGACATCTCATTCCACCCCCCCCCAAAACTCCACAAGGGCTCCCCAGAAAAGCTGAGACCTCCTCTTGTGGAGCTACCTGGAGGGCTGGCCCCAGATGATCTTGGAACCTTCCTTCTAGGTCATGCAGGCTCACTGTGATTGGCCAACATCTGGCTCTGGAGGAAGAGGAGGAGAGAGGCAGGAAAAACACCAGAACCTTTCAGGTCCCCCCATGAAGCAGAGGGTAGAGACCCCGGGGACAAGACCGGGGACCAGCCATGCCCAGCCAGCTATGTGACAGAGAAGGCACAGGCTTACTTTTTTATTTGTTATTTTGCTGGTCCTCGGGCTTGGACTCAGGACCTGAACACTGTCCCTGAGCCTCTTTGTGCTCAAGGCTAGCGCTCTACCCCTTGAGCCACAACACCACTGTTTCTGGCTTTTTCTGAGTAGTTTATTGGAGATCAGAGTCTCACGGACTTTCCTGCCCAGGCTGGCTTCAGATTGCACTCCCCAGATCTCAGCCTCCTGAGGAGCTAGGATGACAGGCGTGAGCCACCGGTGCCTGGCTCAGGTTTAATATTTACCTTGCAGGATTGTTTCAGGATGGCGTGGGGTGATGCAGGCTTTTACTATTTGAACTTGTAATCCCCAGAGAAGTGCCAAACACATGTATTCCTTACCAGAAATCCCTCTCTGGGTGATCTTCAAGCCAAATCTCCCCATAGGCGGGGCATGCTAGAAATACCTCTGATCTCATTGCTACCCAGCAGGGCAGTAATCTCCCCTTCCCCTGGCCCCCTGCATGGTCTTGGAGCCCCTTTTCCCCCCTCCCCTGCCTCAGCTCCCAACCCCAGACCCCTCCTAGCCAGACTTTCAGGGGAGCACTAGGCACCAGAGGACAGCTGGAGAGGCCAGATGAGGGAGGCCAGCTGGTCATGGAAAGGAAGTAGACATGTTTTGGAGGCCAGCTGTCTTATTGGGAAGCTAGACACATCCCTCACACCTGGGCTGGATGGGCAGGCTATCCCCCACACACAGACACCTCTTCAAATCTGCCTCACCAGATGTTTACCGGGTAGTGGTTTTGCAGAAGTAGTCACTGACAGCTGCCTGTGCTGGCCTTGAATAGTTATTTCCTGATGAATTCCCAGCACGCGCTTAACACACACACACACACACACACACACACACACACACACACACACACACACACACACACACACACACACACACACACCAGTGCTTTGGGATCGGCATGCCTGGCCCCCAGCAAATAGTAGCCTGCCACACTGCAATTGGATGATTGAAGCCCAGCTCCCACCATGGTGGCAGGCTTGGCGGCTCTCATGCTAAGTTGTCCTGCACACCTTGTAACACAGTGATCTAGAGGTTTAGTTAGTGTGCACTCACCTTTGTGCAGGAGGGCTTGGGGGTGAGCACGAGGCTGTGGACATCTCTGGGGTCTCAGATCCCCAGGCCAAGAGCAGATCCAAAGCCACAGCAAGAAAGGAGTGACTTGGGGTGAAGGGATGGACCACTCACTGTCTTTCTGACCACTCTGGGAGAGAGTGGAGAGGCCCTGAGAGGAAATGTGGCAATTTTTTTTTTTTTTTCCTGTTCCTGTACTAGGGCTTGAACTCAGGGCCTAGTGCGGTTTGTTTAAGTTTGGCACTCTACCACTTGAGCTATAGCTCTACGCTCTGGCTTTCTGATAGTTCATTGGGGATACATCTCAGGAACTTTCTTGCCTTTGAACTGCGATCCCCAGATCTCAGCCTCCAGAGTGGCTAGGTTAGCAAGGTTGTTTTTAAAAAGACTTTGGCTGCTGTGTAGAAAATAAGAGGCGCGGGGGGGAGGGTGTCAAGGGTGTGTGTGTGGCCAGTGTAGCGTGGGAACAGAGAGACTGGTTTGGGGGGGAGCATTCTGGGGAGGCCAGAGGGGCCAAGCAGTGCTGTCTTTGGAGCGAACGCAAGGACTTGGTGGCTGAGTGGCTTGAGAGAGGGTTCGGGGGGTGCAGGACTGGGCATCAGGAGCAGACCAGGCCTGGGGAAAGCAGTGAACAATTCCAACTGGGCCAGGTGCTGGTGGCTCACGCCTGTCATCCTAACTACTCAGGAGACTGAGGTCTGAGGATCGAGGTTCAAAGCCAACCTTAGCAGGAAAGTCCCTGTGAGACTCTTATCTCCAATTAACCACTAGAAAACCAGAAGTGGTACTATGGCTCAAAGTGGTAGAGCTCTAGCCTTGAGCAAAAGACGCTCAGACAGTGTCCAGGCCCTAAATTCAAGTGCCATGACTGACAAAAAAACAAACAATTTCTTCTACTGCGGCTGCATGAAGTGTGAGGTAGCAGGAGGAGAAGTCAGGCTGTGTCTGGGGCTGGTGGAGGGATCAGGGCTGGACATTTAGATAACCAGGACTCCTGTGAGCATGCGCCATAGGAGACAGCCTGAACCCCGGCAGGTGAGAGAGCAAGTAGGAGCTGGGACCAGCCAGCAAGCCCAGGCCCGTGGCAGCGAGCAAGCGGACACAGAGAGCAGGAGAGTGGAGAAGTAGGAGGAGCGGTCGACGGCTCAGATCCTGCCTGACCGCTGCCCAGCCTGACAGGCGAGCGAGCGTTCCCCACGGGCTGTGGCTCTCTGACAGACTCTGTCATTTATTGTCCCCGTCAGGAAACGCATGCAGGCGAGAAGAGGGCTCTGTTAGTGATTCTGCCAGACAGCAGTATAAATCAGCCTCAGCCCCGACAAACAGGGCCCTCCATCACCTTGCCTCCTGGTCCCCTGGTCAGGTGGCTTCCCAATAGGACAGCTACTCCCTGAGTTTTATTGTAGGGGTGACGGGCAACTCATGGGACACCTCTGTAAAATCAAATGCTCCTCAACAATAAAAGGGAAGACAACTTGATGCATAGGACTTGGGTGAAGCCCGCACACACTCCAGGATCCCTTTCTATGTAAAACTTCTAGGAAATGCACCCGGTCTGTAATACTGACCATCAGGGTTGACCTGGTCTGTAAGGATGGCCAGTGGAGTGGGGACTGAGCCAGGGGAGGAGGGGAGGGCTGGCGAGGGCGGGAGAAAGCTCTGGGTGGGCTGAGCTGGAGTTTGGAGCTGGTTCCCTGGGCGTGGCCCGGGTGCAAATGTTCATCTCTGTACACTAGCTTATTATACTGTTCATTATGTCTGGCATTCTGAGACTCCTTGATATAAAGCTGGAGAATAAAACTCTTCCCTAGACAGGAAGAGACAGAAGAGGCTCAATCTGGCTTTCCCGTGAGCCGTGACAGTAGAGAATATGAAGAGTAGCATGACACGGGCCCGTGGGGGGAGGGGAGGGGGAGATGGGGGAGCTGGCCAGGGCGGGCGGGGCTTTGGCGGAGGTCACTGTAGGTCACACGATGGGCCTGTGTTCTCCATCTCCCCATGTTGATGGAATCTTCTGGAAAACCTAGAAGCCACCGGGGCAATCCCCTCCACCTCCCTCGGGCTCCTCCCCTATCTCGGTGACAGAGGAAGTGGGAGAGTCTCCTGTCTGCTGCAGCTTGTGTGGCCAGGATGGGGGGGGGGGGGGCAGTGCCCCACGGACAGCCTTCAACTACCCCCAGCCTTTAAAGGGCTGTGGGGAGGTGCAGGAAGGAGCCTCGGGGACCCGCAGCAGTGTCCAGCACTTGAGGACGTGGCTCTTCCAGCTGTGTCCTTTCTCTCCCTTGGCCCGTACCACATCCTGGTCTCAGGCTCCACTTTCTTTTTCTGTTTTTTTTTTGTCAGTTGTGGGACTTGAACTCAGGGCCTGGGCACTGTCCCTGAACTACTGTGCTCTATCACTTTGAGCCACAGTCCTACTTTCAGTTTTCTGGTGGTTAATGGGAGACAAAAGCCTCATGGACTTTCCTGCCTGGGGTAGCTTCGAACGGTGATCCTCAGATCTAAGCCTCCTGAGGAGCTGGGACTCTAGGCATGAGCCCCCAGTGCCTGGTTTGGAACCTCACCCTTCTAGTACTTCACCTTCGCTTCGGGGATCTTCTCTTCCCCAAACTCAGCCTGTGAGGCTGCTGCCCTGGAGGGTATCCTCATTCGGTTTCATTTTTTGTGATTTCAGGACCTTAACATCGGGGCCAAGCACGTGAGGGTGTACGTCAACCACAGGTGCATCTTCGATGGTGAGCTAGACAAAGGCAGGGGAGAGGTCCCCTCCGGCCTCACCATTGCTGCTCACCTGCACAGCGAGGAGATTACCCACAAGGCCCTGGGTGCTGGCGGGGAAGGAAGCTCGGCTGCCCCCAGCCTGGCAGTGGCTCCAGCCACCGGGGACGGGGACCCGGGTCTCAGTAGCTCACAGCCCGCCGAAGCTCTGGCTGTCGAGAAGATCTCTTCCCAAGCCAGTTTCCTTGATGACACGGAGAATTCCACTAACTGCACGAAAGACAGTTCCTCCAAGTTAGAGGAAGGCGGAGCACCTCAGGGACCCCCTCTTTCAATGGGCAGTGAGCCCCGCATCCCTCCCTCCTCCCCACCTGGGAGCGGGGCCCCCCCGGAAGAAGAGCCTTCTCTGGCCAAACAGCTGGAAACCCTCACGGGCAGGAAGATCTGCGAGCCTCCTGGGAACCCCCCATGCTGGTTACAGACTTCTCCAGACAAGGGCAGGCAGCCGGGGAGTAAGAAATCCAAGCCCCAACCCTCCTGGCTGAGCTTTGAGAAGCCGCTGGATGGGAAGGGCGGGCTCCCATCAGCCGAGGTCATGGACCAGGGTCCTGGAGAGACCGGCGAGGGCAAAGGTCCCCAGAGGACAAGCAGCTGGAATGCCATTGCTGGAGAGCGTCCCCAGAGAGCAGCCCCCAAAGTCTGCAGCGATGACTTAGACATTTTTAACCAACCTCCCAACAGGGAGCGCCCTGCCAGTGGGAGGAGGGGCCCGAAGAAGGATGCTCTCCTCTGTCGTCATGGTGACAGCCAGACAGCCAGCAGAGGTAAGCAGTCTGACCCACTGCCACTGCCCAGATGTTCCCAATTGGTGTGAAAATATTCAGTAACCTGGGCTATTCTAGAACTCTGTGTGTGTGTGTGTGTGTGTGTGTGTGTGTGTGTGTGTGTGTGTGTGTGTGTGTGCGCGCGCATGTGTGCAGACATACACACATGCAAGTGCCAGTCCTAGGGCTTGAACTCAGGGCCTGGGCAACTGTCCCTGACCATTTGTGCTTAGGGTTACTGCTCTGCCACTTGAGCCACAGCTCCACTTCTGGCTTTTCGGTGGCTTATGGGAGATAAGACTCTCACAAACTTTTCCTGCCCAGATTGACTTCGAACTATGATCTTAGCCTCCTGAGTAGCTAGGATTACAAGTGTGTGCCAGGCTGGCTTTTTTCTTCTCTTCCTTTTCTCTGTCCCCAGCCTTCTTCCACCTCTCCTTCCTTCTCTTCCTCCTCCTCCTCCTCTTCCTCCTTCACTTCCTTTTCCTCTTTCTCCTCCTCCTTCTTTTATTCCCATCTCCTCTCTGTCCCTCCCCTCTCCTCCTCCTCCTCCTCCTCTCCCCTTCTCCTCAAAGAGCAAGTCCCTGTGGCTCTGAGCACCTTCTGCCCACCTCCTTCAGAGACTCAGCATGGAGGGTGGAGCACAGGGAGGGGACTCTGCTGGGGTGGGGGAGGACAATGAGCACAGCAGCCATGTTGGCTGGGTCCGTGGCCTGCAGGCTGTTAATCAAGCTCTGCGCCAAGAAGAGGCCGGTGGCGCTTTTCCTGGGTGACATCAGAGCTGGTGACACACCCCCCCCTTTTACAGAGACAGAAGCTGAGGTTGAGGTGACCGACCTGGTGCCACACCACCACACACAGGACTCCCCAGGGCCTGTCACCTCTCACCTGCCTGCTGCCAGCCAGGTGACCCCAAGCCTCCCGGTGAATGGATTACGGTGTCTTCCCTGCCCGCCCAAGTTCAAAGACGTCGTCTCGCTTTAATTTCTTTCCAGACATTTTGCTGCCTGGCTCGATGACACATTAAGAGCGGAGCCCTTGAGATTTAATGCTTGTTAAGCTAGTCATGCTAAAAAGGAAAGTTGCTTAGAAAATTCAAATTACTCACTCCCGGAAGGCAAATCCCAGTCTCAGCCCTGAAGAAACATGTAGCGTGATTCCTCTTCCCTTCCCCCCTCCCCCCCTCCCCCCCTCCCATGGGTGCATGAACTACGAACTGGGGGACACTGCCTGAGTTCTGTTCTGAGGTCTCACTGTGCTGTGACCTTAAGAGAACCCGAGGACCAGTGTCCATGCAGAACATTCCAGAAGTGCCCGCATGTGGCCAAAATATCAGCCCAGCGGGAGGACTAGTGGGGTGACCGGTGGAGACCACTCAGGGCTGTATAGTAAACCCTTGTTACAAAAATAAAGAGAAAATAAAACGGAGGGAATGATGCCAGGTCTCCACCTCTTGTTCATGTTCCCCTGCTGGCTCCATTTTCCAGAAGGATCTCGCTGGAGCTTAGCAAAGTGGCCCCATCTTTGGTCCTAGTACTGGGGCTTACACCCGGGGCCTAGGCACTGTCCCTGAGATTTTCCACTGACATTCTACCACTTGAGCCACAGCTCTCCTTCCAGCTTTTGTTTTGTTTTGTTTTTGGTGATTAATTGGAGATAACAGTCTCATGGCTTTTTTTTCTTTGGGCTGGTTTTGAACCGCCATCCTTAGGTCTCAGCCTCCTGAGTAGCTAGGATTATAGGCGGGTGCCACTGCTGGCTGCATAGCTGGGCAGTTTAAAGAGGGCTGCTCGTTAAGCTCCCCTGGGAGGGCTGTGTCCCCCCCCAGTCGCCCTCCCTGGCCGGCCTGAGAGGAGGGACGCCCACAGGACATCAGGACATCAAGAAGGGGGAGCTGACTGGGGGGGGGGTTTAGACAAAAGAATGGCTTTTCCCGGGAGGGCCTGGGGCAGGATAAAGGCGGTTGGGGAGCAATCCCCTTGGAAAGAGTCCTGGGACCACATCAGCTTCCCTTCCCCTCTGCCTCCGCGTCTGGGCAGGAGAGATTTATGCCCGTCTGCAGGCAGAGCGAGAGGCGGCATGGGGGGAGGCGAGCGAGGAGATGATGGATGGAGCCCGGCCCCGAGGAGACAGGCAGGAAACGGAGTGCAGGGCACCGGTGTGCGATGAGAGCTGAGCGTCGGGGGCACCGGCTGTTGTTTTTCCAGAGTGACATTCTGAGATCGTGGCTGGCCGTCACTCAGCCGCCATGTCCCGCCACTGCCTTTGCTCACACCTCCACTTTTAGAGTCTTTGTGAGCACAGGGCCTGGGAGGGGGGCCTTGCCTGTACCCTGTACCTCGGGACACAAGCAGATAGAGCCCTCAGCCTGTACTGTACACGCTGGCTTGCTTTGTTTTTTTACCTCTCTCTCCCCCTCCCCCCTCCCCCTCCCCCCCCCCTCTGTGCCTCTCTCCCTCCTCCTACCCTCCTCTTCCCTCCCTCCTCCCTGCCTCCCTCCCTCCTCCTTTCCTTCCTTCCTTCCTTCCTTCCTTCCAAGATCTATCTATGTAGTCCAGGCTAGCCTTGAACTCATGATATTCATGCCTTGTTCACTCTTTTACTAACATTTCTCCCCCCCCCCCGCCCCCCCGGATTATAAAAGTAATAAATAATCTGGGAGCCTATAGTGTTCTAGCTACCCCAGGCTGAGATCTCACTTCAGAACCAGCCTGGGCAGGAAAGTCTGTGAGATTCTTTTTTTTTTTTTTTTTTTGGGTCCAGTCGTGGGGCCTGAACTCTGGGCCTGGGCGCTGTCCCTCAGCTCTTCAGCTCAAGGCTAGCGCTCTACCACTTGAGCCACCTTATCTGTGAGAGTCTTATCTCCAATGAACCATCAAAACTGGATTTGGAGAGATGGCTCAAGCGGTAGAGTACCAAGCAAGCAAGCAAGCCAAGCGTGCATGAGGCCCTGAGTTCAAGGAACATAGGAGATAGAATTATAAAGAAGGAAATAAAAGTCCTTCCATTGTGAATCACTATTAATGCATGTGAGTGTCACTCATGCTAGGATGTGCTACACTGTCTGGCTTTTCCTTTTGTGTGTGTGTGTGTGTGTGTGTGTGTGTGTGTGTGTGTGTGTGTGTGTGTGTCTGGTGGTGGAACCCAGAGCTTTACACATGCTAAACTGAAATATATCTCCAGCCTTTAGTCTTTTGGAGAAGTTCTTGCTATGTAACCCAGACTAGCCTCAAACTCTCAATCCTCCTGCTCAGCCTCCAGAGTGTTGGGGTTACACCAGCAGCAGCCAGCCCCTACTGTTCTTTTGTGAGCCTTCTTCTACCATGAGGCCCTTGGGATACCATCCAAGCCCGGGGCTGGGCAGCCTGAGCATAGCCGCTCATGTGGCTGACTTGTTACTTGCCTGGCCATGGGAATTTCTAAACAGAACGACCATTAGCCAGGTCCCTAACCCGACCAAGTAGTCTTCCTGTGCCAGCTTTCCATCATTGTGACAAAAGACCCGAGGTAAACGACTTCAAAGGAAGAAAGGTTTATCACGGAGAAAGGAAGGAAGGTGTGTCGTTGGCCCCCATTGGTCTGGGCCTGTGGCGAGTCAGAAGGGCATGATGGGATTGTGGGGGTGGAGGAAGCTGCTGGTGGCCGAGGTATGGAGAGAGGAAGCGCATAGGCCTGCTTCAGGGTCCCCTTCCAAGGCCCCCACAATCCCCTCCCCATGGTGTCCTGGGCAGGAGACCCAGCCTTTAGCACATGGGTCTTTGGGGAACATTCCAGATTCACACCTTGCCATTTCCCCTGATTTGCAAGGTAGTTGTCTTCTTATAAAGTTCAAAGTCTAGAGCTGGGAGCCGGTGGCTCCCACCTATAATCCTAGCTACTCAGGAGGCTGAGATCTGAGGATTGCAGTTTGAAGCCGGCTGGGACAAGAAAGTCCAAGAGACTCTTATCGCCAATTAGCCACTCAGATAACCAGAAGTGGGAGCTGTGGCTCAAAAAGGTAGAGCACTATCCTTGAGCAAAAGAGCTCAGGGACAGTGCCCAGGCTCCGAGTTCAAGCCTTACAACCAAATAAATAAATAAGTCCAAAGTTCAGCCTGTGCCTGTGGCTCACGCCTGTAATCCTAGCTACACAGGACACTGAGCCCTGATGATCATGGTTCAAAGCCAGGCCTGGCAAGAAAGCCCGTCATGGCGACGTGCGTGTCCAGTAGCGTAGTCGTAGGCTATGGGCACCAGGTCGCTGCTGTGTGCAGGGACTGTCCCAGGCAAAGCCATCTCTGGCCCTCACATGCCAGGAGGGGCCTCTTGGGCAGAGAACTGGCCATGGTAACCTCAGCTTTTAAGACCCCAGTTAAGGGGTGTGTGTATGTGTGTGTGTGTGTGTGTGTGTGTGTGTATGTGTGTGTGCACGCGCGCGCCATTAACAGACTGCCACACCATCTCCTCCCTTCAGAAGATCCCGGGGCAGCCCGGACGCCGCCCCGCCTGCGGTGGCGTGGGGAGCAGGAGCACTGGCTGCGTGAGTCCTGGGACTCCCTCAGCGCCTTCGACCGCTTCCACCTGGGCCGCATCCCCCGGCCGGAGCAGCAGAGCGACATCCTGGACGAGTTCCTCCAGCTGCAGAGGGCGGGCGGGCGGCAGGGCCAGCCGCCCCCACGGAGGGACGGGGAGCCACGGCCGGAGCCACAGCCAGGGCCAGGCAGGGGCCAGGGCGACTGCTCCCCCGAGACCAAAGGCGGCAGCGGCGACGGCGACTTCAAAATCCCCATCCTGCCCTACGGCCAGCACTTGGTCATCCACATCGCCTCCACGTGGGGCGACAGACACTACGTGGGCCTGAACGGGGTAGAGATCTTCAGCTCCCAGGGGGAGCCGGTGCAGGTTGCCGACATCCGCGCCGAGCCCCCTGACATCAACGTCTTGCCGGCCTACGGGAAGGACCCCCGCGTGGTTGCCAACCTGGTGGACGGGGTGAACAGGACCCAGGACGACATGCACGTGTGGCTGGCGCCCTTCACGCCAGGCCGGCCCCACTCCATCTCCATCGACTTTGCCCACCCTTGCCAAGTAGCCATGATCAGGATTTGGAACTACAACAAGTCCCGGATCCACTCGTTCCGAGGCGTGAAAGACATCACCATGCTGCTAGACGGGCAGCGCATCTTCGAAGGGGAGATTGCCAAGGCTTCAGGGACCCTGACTGGAGGTACGATGTGTGTGTGTGTGTGTGTGCGGGGGGAGGTGGGGAGAGGAGAATGTTCTGTCTGAAGTTCATGAGAGAAAAACATGAACCCCCCAGGCTGGCCCACGACAGATAGGGTCACTTCACCTTACCCGGTCCTCCCAACCCCCACTCCCCATGACCTGCGGGAGACTGCTCAGAGCTGACCTCATGCTTTTCCCTTTGCTGCTTGCCTGTCTTCGTGCAGGGGGCTAGAGTCTAAGAGAGTTGTTTTGCTCCTAAGGGTCCCCCAGGTGGGTCACCAACCCAATGGATGGGGTGGACAGGAGCCAGGACGACACGCACTTGTGGCCTGTCCCCTCGCCCTGGGCCGGCCCCACTCCACCTCCATCGACTTTGCCCACCTTTGCCAAGGGGCCGTTCGAGGGGGGACTCTTACGAGAAGCCTGGGCCTGGTTAGGCAGGTGCAATCTCAGCCTCATTCTGGGATGCTCTGGACCCCAAATTGCAGGCTCTTTTCCTGCTCAAGGCAAAAAGAGTAGGGCTATGCGCCCCCATAAGCCAGCCACTAGAGCCTGCTCCTGGGGAAAGGGCAGGCATCATACCCTCACAGCCAGGTACCAGGGGAAAAGCATCCACAGAGATCAGATGTATATCTGCAGCAACAGTTGTCACTTGTTCGGTGACAGATGGCAGGGATTTGCCCACAAGAGAACAAAGCAGATTCACACCCAGAGCACGGGCTGTTTGGTGACTGGGCTGGCCTAGCCACGGGTTGATGATGGGCGTGGCCGTGGACGCTCAGATCCAGGGACCCGGGGCCAGACTTGACCCTCCTATCTTTCCGGTGATGCCCAGCCCCAGAGCACTTTGGAGACACCATCTTATTCACCACCGACGAGGACATCCTGGAGGCCATCTTCTGTTCCGATGACACGTTTGACGTGGATGTGGACGCAGACGGACTGTGCAGCCTGCAGCTCGGTCAGGCCCCAAGGAGGCCTAGCACGGCTGACAGCGAGGGCCAGGAGCGGCCTTTCACCCAGGCTGGCTCCAGCGCTGATGACCGGGTAGGACGGGGGGGAGGGGGGGGGAAGCAGAGCGGGGACAGAGAGGATGCCCCGGGGGCTGCCAGCTTCACATTTCCCACTTCTCTACTTCATTGTTGGTCCCGTATGTCATACTTCATTCTCTAATTATTTCTCTTAAAATCCAAGTGAACAAAGTATTCCAATTTTTATCAAAGCCAAGACAAATGAACTTTTTCCATCAGCTGTATGATTTAAAGGTTGGATTTTGGGGGGGAGGCATGGGGGGGGGTTAGATCCCTCATTGTCAGTTGATGTAAAAACTAGAAATACCTTGAATGCTCAAGGCCTATTGCTATGGCTCACACCTGTAACCCCAGCGACTTGAGAGGCAGAAATCAGGAGGTTTATAGTCCAGGCTGTCTGGGCAAAAGCAGGAGACCCTGCCTGAAAAATTACACCAAAAAAGGACTGCGGGAGTGGGGGTTGGGCCGGGGAGGGGATGTGGCTCAGTACTGAGTTTGAACACCAGCACTACCAAGAAGGAAGGCAGGGAGGGAAGGAGGATAAACCAAAGCAAAGATCAACAAGGCCACGGTTCTGAATACTGGTGACCCAAGAGAGGTGTCACTGCTGGTTTCCAGAGAAGGAAGGGAATGTAAAAGGGGAGGTGAGGGTAGGAGAGAAGGCAGGCTATGGGAAGGATGTGACCACAGAGGCCCACAGCGTGGGAATGAAGCCAGTGGACCCACAGAGCTCATCCCCCCGGGGCAGCAGAGCCCAGGGAAGCAGTCCAGGATGGGGAGGAGGCATGTTGGCAGGCCGTGCCTTCCGGTGTTCAGGCTCTGGTGGCTCACACCTGTAACCCTAGCCTCTCAGGACACTGAGATCCCAGATCATGGTTTGAAGCCAGCCTGGACGGAAAAAAGTCTGTGAGATTCTTATCTCCAACTAACCACCAAAAAGCCAGAAGTGGAGCTGTGACTCAAGCGGTAGGAGCACCAGCCTTGAGTAAAAAAAAAAAAAGAAACCCTCAGGGACAGTTCCTAGGTCCTGTTCAAGCCCTAGTACACACACACACACACACACACACACACACACACACACACACACACACGCACACATATAAACCTCTCCCCTTTCCTTTGCTTCTCCCCCCACCCCCCATACAGATCCTGGGGCTGGAGCTGCCCCCCAGCTCCCCCAGCCCCGAAGTCACCACGCTGGAGCCTGGCATCTACCATGGCATCTGTGAGTGCACTCTGGGGCTTGGGGGTGGCCAGTGGGAAGACACTGACTTTGGGTTGAGGGGTGTGTGGCCGTGTGGGTTGGGTCCTACACGGAGACACCAGGCCACGAGGAGGGTCAGGTCTCTGCTGGGCTCACCTGCCAGCCAGGGGAGTGCTGGGGGCCGACCCAGAGCCAGAGCGTTCCCTGGGAGAGGTCAGGTGGTGCAGTCTGTCCAGGAGCGCCAGCCGGGCAGAGTGGCCACCGCCCCCTCCATGTGCCTGCAAGACGAGCCATTTCCAAGCCTCTCATCAGTCAGCAGGCATCTCCACGCAGCTCTCTTGCCAAACATGTGTCTGTGTATAGATGTGTCTGTGCATCTGTGTGGCCAGTACTAGGCTTGAGCTCAGGGCCTGCATACTTTCTTTTGGCTTTTATTTTTTCTTCTCAAGGCTAGTGTTATACCATTTAAGCCAGCCTTCACTTCCATAATTTTGATGGTTAATTGGAGAGAAGAGTCTCTCAGACTTTTCCTGCCTGGGCTGGCTTTGAACCTCAATCCTCAGATCTCAGCCTCCTGAGCAGTTAGGATGACAGGCATGAGCCACCGGCACCCAGCTTCTCTGTACGGTTTGAGGCCTGAGATTTTGCATCCTTCCTCTCTGAACTTTAGCCTCCCTCCCTCTGCACCCCAAATTCTCCACCTCCTCCTCCAGCCTATACAAGCAGATAGGGTTTGATGTGGGGCCAGGGCTGGGGCGCACCGGCTAGGAGAGATGGCCAAGCCTATTTGTGCTTTGAAAGGAATCTCTGGCTTGCTAATTTGCAGATGACTCTAATTTTGGAAGTTTGCAAATATCAGCCGTGATGAATAGGAAAAGAGCTGAGGGGGTTGAAACATAGGAGAGAAATAACAAAATTAATTTCCATTTGTATAAATACTAATTGATACCCGAGGAAAATGAATATGGAATGAGGAATCAGCTCCAAAAGGAAAAGAATCGCCTTCCAACACAGAAGCAGATTAGATGGAACTGTACGTTATGCCAGGCAGGAGAGGCTGGGCTGCTGAGCTTTGTAAGTCACTGCTTAGTCATCTCCTGCTTAAACTCATTCTTTACCTGGGCAGGACATGGTGATGCAGCCTATAGTCCCCAGCTACACAGGAAGCAAGATAAGAAGCTCATGGCTCAAGGCCAGGCAAAAGTTCAAGACCCTATCTGAAAAATAACTAAAGCAAAAAGAAGGGGGGGTGGACATGGTTCACTTGTCTAACAAGCTGGAGTTCCAGCTCCAGTACCACCAGAAAAGAAAAAAAAAAGAAAGAAGAAAGAAAAGACAGGCACCAGTGGGTCATGCCTGTAATCCTAGCTACTCAGAGACTGAGATCGATCTGAGGATCACAGCTCGAAGCCAGCCAGGGCAGGAAAGCCCGTGAGACTCTTAGTCTCCAATAAACTATTATGAAATTTAAAGCCAGAAATGGAGCGATGGCTCAAGTGGTAGAGCCCTAGCCCTGAGCCAGAGAAGCTCAGACACAGTGCCCAGACCCAACATTCAAGCCCCAGGTTGGACAAAAAGAAGAGAAAAGAAAGGTAGGACAGTCTAAAGTGTAGCCTCCTGCTGGCCTGAGTTTTGCTCCTAGCCTGTTTACTAAGGCTGGCTCTGTGGCCCAGACAGGGGCCTCTGTGTGCAGCAGCGATGTCACGGGGTGAGAGTGAGAGGTGTTATCCCCCCCTTCCCCCCCCCCCCCCCCCCCCCGCCGCTGGTGCCTGGGGATTCGTGTGCCGCCCCGAGATGCTCAGGGTGACTTTGGCAGCACGGCTGAGGGCTGAACCGCGAAATGGATGCTGGGAAAGGCCCGGGGGGGCGGTGCCCGTGAGCCACTGGGCTCGGTGTGGCTGGGCCTGGCCAAGACATTCAACCCAGTCTGAGCTTTCCGGGCAGCCCGGTGAGTCATCTGGCCTGTTGGCCTCAGGGCCAAGAAGGTCACCTCTGAGTGGGCTCTGATGGAGTCCGGGCGAGGTCAGGGGGCAGGGTGGAGCGCTCTGACAGCCGCTTCCCCTACCCTGAGTGCAGGGGAATGAAGCCTCACGTCCCCATACTGAGGGCTGGCTGGTGGAACCGCCTCCCTTCCTTCCTTGTCCAGTATTTCGGAGGCTCTGAGCCCCAATTGTGTGCTGGGTACTGTGGATGGGAAGAATGGAATTAGAGCAGAAAGATCTGGGTGGAGAGCCAGCCAGGTGCTGGTGGCAGGGAGCTGAGATCTGAGGATCAGGGTTCAAAGTTAGCCCAGGCAGGAAAGTACCCATAACAATCTCCAGTTAACCACCAAAAAGTCTGACGTGCATCTGTGGCTCAAGTGGCAGAGTGCCAGCCTTGAGCACAAAAGCCCAGGGACAGAGCCCAGGCTTTGAGTTCAAAGCCCTAGTACGGGTGAGTGTGTGTGTGCGTGCATCAGCACATACACACAAGATCTGGGTGGACCTGAGGGCCCCTGGTGGTCATGACATTGGGATAAGTGGCAGAAGCCGGTTGAGGAGAGCCTGTTGGCCACATGGGAGCCAGGTGCAGTTTAAGGTGGGATGGGGTCCCAGGACCCTTGACCCTGGGCCACGAGCAGTTTCAGTAGCACTGGTCCATTCGGCCTGTGGCATGTCCTGAGCCTTGGCTGTGAACAAGCCTGGGTTTCCCACAGGACAATGGAGAAGCCCAAGGCGTCCCTCCCCCCCAACCCCCTCCTCCCCCTCACTCAGTTCCCTGGAGACTCTGGGATTGACTGGTCTCCTCGGCTTCCGGTTGCAGGCCTTCGGCTCAATTTCACCGCCTCCTGGGGGGACCTGCACTACCTGGGGCTCACTGGCCTGGAAGTGGTGGGTAGGGACGGCCAGGCCCTGCCCATCCGCCCGCACCAGCTGTCCGCTTCCCCCAGAGACCTCAACGACCTTCCCGAGTACACGGACGACTCCCGGACCCTGGACAAGTGAGTGCGCATCAGGGCTGGGCTCCAGCCCAGGGGTTTATGTCTGGCCTACAGCTTAGACTTCACTGCCCCCGGACGCAGTGCGGCAGGCAAGCCAGGCCCGGGCCTCAGGGCAGGAGGGAGCAGGCAGGCTGCCATGCTGGGCGTGCTGGCCATCCCCTGCCCGGGCCTAGCAGGGCCAGCTGGAAATGGCTGCATCGTGCGCAGCTCCCCATGTGTGCCCCTGAGCCCCCCTGCACAGACACCAGTGCGATCGCCAAGGAGGGCTCGCACGGCCGTGGCTGCACCGCCCTGGCTTTTGCCACATGCTGTGAACCAAGACCCGGGTCAGGTTCCAGGAGGGACAAGCCTCGGCCACAGCATGCATGCACAGGGACCTGGGACCCGCGGCCAGGCTCGGGCCCTGCTCGGGACCAAAGGAGCACAGAGGGAACAGGGCTGGGAGGTCAGATCCTGTCTCTGTCTTCTGTCCTCTGTGTGTGTGTGTGTGTGTGTGTGTGTGTGTGTGTGTGTGTGCGTGGTGTGTGTGTGTGTGTGTGTGTGTGTGTGTGTGTGTGTGCTGGTCCTGAGGCTTGAACTCAGGGCCTGGGCACTATCTAAAGTTTTTTTGGTTGTTTTTTTCTTTCTCAAGGCTAGCTAGCATGCTATCATTAGAGCCACAGCTTCACTTCGGTGGTTAATTAGAGATAGAGTCTCACAGACTTTTCTTCCTGGGCTGACCACAAGTCTCTGATCTCAGCTCCCAGCTCATCCATCCTGGGCCGCAGGGCTGTGAGCTGGTGGGGGAGGGCGGGGGCACTCCGGCTCCCTTCTTTCTCAGCTTGTGTATTTGCTGAAGAGCGAGGCCCTGTCCGTGACTTCCTTTCTCTGTGTACAAGTCAAACAGGCGGGCCACAGCAGTGCTTAATTATCTCTATTAAACTGCTACAAAGCCCGAAGTAGAGCTATGGCTCAAATGGTAGAGTGCCAGCCTTGAGAGAGTAAGTTAAGTGAGAGCCTGAGGCCCTGAGTTCAAGCCCCACTGCTAGCACCAAAAGAGGAGGAGAAGAAGGGGATGGAGGAGCGGTGAAGGGGGAGGAGAAGAAGAAAGCAGTAGCAGGAGGAGGAGGAAGAGGAGCAAGAAGAGAAGAAAAAGAAGAAGGAGGAGGAGGAGGAAGAGCAGGAGAAGGAAAAAGGGGGAAGAAGAAAGAGGAAGAGTGGGAAGAGAAGAGGAGGAAGAGGAAGAGGAGAAAGAGGAGGGGGAGGAAGAGGAAGCAGAAACACCTGTCTTGACAGCTTTCTTCTCGGGGGCTGGGGGGGGGCACTCCAGGCTTGTCTAGTCTGTTTCTTGAGCCTCAGACCTGGGCACGGTGTGTTCGCTGCCGCTGGGGCAGGCCTGGCGCGGCCCCTGCTTCTCAGCTTGTTGGAGAAGAGGGCCTGGAGGTCTCTTGGATGTCCTGGTGGGTCAGCAGGGCTGAGGAATGGCGACAGCTGTGCTGCCGAGGTGGCCCGTCCCTAGGACAGGACGGTAATTGCTTTTGTCCCCAGTCAGCTAGCTAGCTCAGCACCACAAACACCCGGCCCCGACTGCCGAGCTTCCTCCGTTTTAAGATGCCAGCAATTGTGAGACACACCATCCATCAATTTAATAACAGCCTTTTAGAGAGAGAGGAAAGAAAAAGAAGAAAAAAAAAAAACATTACCTCCTTGGATGAACACTTAGATTGTAAGATTTATTTCAAGCCCCCAATTTGAAGATGTAAAAGAAGCAGAAAGTTGATTTTCAGATCTAGGAAGCAGGGCAGTAGCCTGAGCCTGAGTCTGTCAGTGTGGTCGCCCCTAGGTGGCCAGGATCCAGGGCGGGGGGCAGGTTCAGAAGGCTGACCGCTAGCCGCCCCTGCAGAGCCAAGAGGGGCCTTGGGGCTGAGTGTGCTAGACGATCCGGGGAAGTCATAAGGAGGCTGAGGCAGGAGGCTAGGGCAGAGAGGCTGAGGAAGGAGGCTAGGGCAGGAAGTTGAGGTGGGTGGAGCCCAGGGAACAAGAGACCACAAGGATGGAGTACTGTGGGCTAAGGTAATGAGAGGTCAGGCTGTGGGTGGCTCTCTGCTACTGGCTGAGGCGTCCAGTGATGCCCACACTTGAGGATCTCCCCCCCCCCCCCATCTGGCCATTTACAGCCATGGCTGCCCTCCTCTTATACCCGTCCCCAGCCCAGAGCCGCCACGTTCCTCTGGTGCTCCGGTTCCACCAGGAAGAAGAAGGGAGGCCACCCGCCTCTCAGTGCAGGCCTGAGTCCCTTCCACCCGCTCTTGCCTGGTACCGTCCTCATCTCGATGCCCTTCCATCCATGCCCCTGCCCCTGTGTCCACCCTGCCCTGTCAACCACAGATTTTCTTCCCTAATTTGTTCACTTTGAGGTCTTTTAGCTTTGCTTTTCTTTTTCCTTTTTTGTCAGTCGTGGGGCCTGAACTCTGGGCTTGGGCACTGTCCCTCAGCTCTTCAGCTCAAGGCTAGCGCTCTACCACTTGAGCCACAGCGCCACTTCCGGCTTTTTTTTCTTTTTGCTTATGTGGTGCTGAGGAATCGAACCCAGGGCCTCATGCATGCAAGGCAAGCGCTCTACCACTGAGCCACCTTCCCAGCCCTCTTTTAGCTTTTCATTTTGTGAGGTTGGGTTTTTTTCCCCCCATGCATTTTAAAATTGCTATTATAAAGGTGATGTACAGAGGGTTGCAGTTACGTGAGTCAGGTAGTGAGTACATTTCTTTTTGGGCAATGTCATCCGTTCCCTCGCTCTGTGTTTCCCCCTCCCGTCCCCACCTACAAGTTGCATAGTTCATTTTTCAACATAGTGTCTATTGAGAACTGCTACTGCATTTGTTCACCCTTCGTCCCTCCTTTTCTGTGCCACCCCCCCTTACCCTGTCAAAGACAGATAAATGAACAAACAAGACAAAAGAAACAGAAAACCACACCAATAAAAATGTACAGGTCTCTAGGCATTCACACACAGTGAGAGGAGCACAAAGGCACAATGTGCATCTGATCATTTAAAATAATATTTATTAAAGAAATGAACTCCAAAAATTGAGGATGGATGATTTTAAAAAAAAACATTTGATTTTTGAATAATAAAAAGAAAAGTGAAGAGCAAAAAAAAAAAAAAAGAAAAAGAAAAGAAATGAACTCCAGAAAATAGAAATGTTGCTGTCTCTGTTTCCTTTTGAGTTTGTTTGTTGCAGTACAAACAGTTCTGTAACAAGTATCTTTGTACAGAGCGCCTTCCCAGTGGATGGAGTATATTTTCCTTAGGAGAAACGGAGCACCCCGGAAGTGGGGTCACTGTTCTGTCAGACACCTTCGGCAGGGCAGGGGGATTGTCACCCTGGTTTTTCCCTGCTGCAAGAGCCCTCTGGTGTCACGGAGCTGGCCCCGGTCACCTGCTCTGGAGGGGCCTGGTGGCCAGGCGAGGGTCTTTGGGATGGCGCCCTTCCCCACCCTGCCCCTCCCCTGCCACCTGCAGGCTGATCGACGGCGTCAACGTCACCACGGAGGACGAGCACATGTGGCTGATCCCCTTCTCGCCCAGCCTGGACCACGTGGTCACGATCCGCTTCGACAGAGCCGAGAGCATCGCCGGCGTGCGTTTCTGGAACTACAACAAATCTCCCGAAGACACCTATCGAGGGGTGAGTGGGCGGTGGGGGAGAGAGGGCCCAGCTCCAGCAAGCGCCTCGGGGAATGGCCGGCAGCACTGGGGAGAGGAGCAGGAATCCTCCAGAACATTCCACGTGGAGCTGGGGGTGACGTCTGGGGAGGGAGGAGATGGCTGATGCAGACCAGAGAGCCTGGGGCAGCGGGGGGGGGGGGGGGGGGGGGTGGGGGTGGGGGTGGGAGGGAGAGGGCGGAGCTCCGCCCCTGCCCCTGCTGAGGCCTCGGCAGGCCCCGCCCTGATGGGCAGGGTCAGCTCCATTCTGGGTGTCCTCCCAGCCTCAGGTGCCGGTGTGTGCTGTGGGCGGCGTCCACGCCCTCCCCTCCCGGCAAATGAAGTCAGGCGCCAGGGCACCAAGCACAGGTGCACAAAGGTTCCCTCACCAGCCCCCTGCTCTGCTCTTTCCAGCTCCTCCCTCCTGCTGGAAAGCCGAGCAGGGCTGCAGGGCTGCAGGGCTGTAGGGGTGCCAGGTGCCTCAGGAGGGTTGGCAGCTCTGCCACACCGCGTTGACTTGGTCAACCGGAGCTTGAGCTCTGGGATCCAGACCTGGGCTTCCTCTGTGGGCCACACAGCAGCTCCCCCACGGGCTCCCACAGGGTCTTAGGGACTGGCCTGGACACTGCAAGACGGGCCGGTGGCCCTGGTCTCTCCACACACCCCAAAGTACTCTGGGTACCAGACCCCACCTAGCGATAAAAGCCAGGACCTGCCGGGCGCCCGTGGCTCATGCCTGTCATCCTAGCTACTCAGGAGGCTGAGATCTGAGGATCACGGTTCAAAGCCAGCCCGAATAAGGAAAGCCCGTGAGACTCTGATCTCCAATGAGCCGCCAGAAAATCGGAAGTGGCACTGTGGCTCAAGTGGTAGAGCGCTCGCCTTGAGCTGAAGAGCTCAGGGGCAGTGCTGAGGCCCAGAGTTCAAGCCCCACAACCGACAAAAAAACAAAAAGAAACAACCCAAAAGGCAGGACCTGGGACTCTTGAGGTAGGTTTACCTAACCTCCCCCACGTCCCCCCCAGGCTCTGGGGGCGCATGGCTAAGATTCTCTCAACCCTAGGAATGGGCAGGGGAACCAGCATGCCATGGGTGTTGTGAGGGGCACAGAATCGTGTTTGGGGACCAGTGTGCCGGGTGAGCCTGGCAATTGCAAGGCCTGTGTCCTGCTAGCTCCCTAGGCAGGGGAAGAGGCGGGGGTGCCCATGGAGGGTGAGCCGGCAAACCCAAGGCTTTGGCTTCCACTAGGCTCACAAGTCCAACTCCAGCTTGGGGGAGGAGCCTGGAGGAAAGCCAGGCAGACAGTGAAAGAGAGACAGAGGCCAGGACTCAAGAGACAGCCATGCCCCACGTGGGCTGCCCCGCCCGTGTTCAGCCATGTGCTCCCCAAGCGCTGGGCCTGCATGAGCAGAGACAGGGCTGCGGGGCGTTGGGGGGGGCACCTGTGAGGTCCCGGGGTCCTGGCGCCCCCTCCGCTCTGCTGCTGGCAGGAACTCAGCAGCTGCCTGGGCCGCAGTCATCACTGCTGGCTGGTGGAAGGGACCCTGGGAGGGAGGGAGATGCTGGGGCGGGGGGACGAGGGCTGTCTACCTGCTCCCCACTTCCCACCCCACGCCGTCACCCCAGACTGCCACAGGCCTTTGAGATTTGCTGGTGGATCCCAAGTCCAGCAATCTCACGTGATTTCTGGCTGGGATGGCTTCTGCCTTCAGGAGACCCCAGAAATGCTGAGGGCGCCCTGAAAGGGCTTCACGGCCATTCCCTAGCTCAGGCCACTTGTGTCTGTCATCCGCTAGGCCAAGATTGTCCACGTGTTTCTGGACGGCCTGTGCGTCTCCCCTCCCGAAGGATTCCTCATCCGGAAGGGGCCAGGCAACTGCCACTTTGATTTTGCACAAGAAATCCTCTTTGTGGACCACCTGCGGGCCCCCCTGCCGCCCCCACCAGCCCGAAGGTGAGCTGCCCCTTTCCCCCGGCCCCCGTGGGGTTTGGATAGGACCGATCTGATGTTTGGGAAAGCTCAGCCGAGCAGCCTCTGGCGGCCTTCCGTTCAGAAGCAGGCCAGGGCTCCCCTCCTCTGCCACCTCGCTCCTGATCCACAAAGCTTCAAAAGAGAAAAAAAAACAAAAAAAAACCCAGAGCCATGCGGTGGTCCGGTGCGCTGGGATTCCATGCTGTTGCATGAAGTTTGTAACAGTTTATAAATGTCACATTCACTCAGTGCGTCCACGTCCAGCGCCCCCAGGCCAGCTCCGACACAAACCAGCCTCCCTCCTCCCCAGCCCTCCGAACAGCCGCTCCGGTGTGACACTGGCCTTGGCATCCAGGAGACCAGGGCCACGGATGGCTGGAGGTGACCAGAGAGCAGGCACATAGTACTATTGCTCCCTGCCAGCTCTGTGGCCTTGGGCAGGTGACTTGCCCACTCTGTGCCCAGTGGCCTTACCCACACAGGACAGGAAGTTCTGTCCCCTGCATTGCTCTGAAGCAGGCAAGGGTCCCCACCGGGAAGCTGCTAGATCTTTTCCGACTCCTGGCCCAGCCTCCGGGAGCCTTGGCTGTGGCCCCCTCGGGGGTGCTGGGCCTTCTTGGTGGGCGGGGTGGGAGGATGGCTGGTTTCTTCAACATTCGTGGCCGAGGAGTGTCTAGGCAGTACTCGGCTGCGGGAGTCTTTTTTCACATGCCGATTTGTCTTTCCAGGCTGGACTGGAAAAGCCTGGAACGTTCCAGCATGGACTACGAGGCCCCGCTCATGCCCTGTGGCTGTATCCTCTCTGTGGCCAGCCAGTCCCGAAGGCAGCCGACGCTGGGCAGCCAGGGATCCAGCAGGGAAACTAAGGCAGAGGCAGAAAGACTCAGGGTTCCGAGACACCCACCACACAGGACCATGGCTGCACCCACCAGCTCTCCACCCTCCTGGCGGCGCCCGGAACCCTGACAGCCTGTACATGGGTCTATCATTTTCCCCTGTCACAGCAGAGGACATGGGGTACAGGGGCTGGGCACAGTGCTCCCACTGGTAATCCCAGCCCAGCCTGGGCTACTAGCCAGATCCTGTCTCAAAAAGAAAGAAGGGAGAAAGGAATCACAGAGGCCTAGACCGGTGCTCCCAGCATTCCCAGCTTGGGCGGGCAGGCCTGCCTAGAGAGCTCCCCCCCACTCCCTACCCCCCGTGGCCCAGCTGGCTGTCCTGGAAATGACTGGCCTGGCTGTGACTTGGCCTGGTGACCCTAACATGGCCCACTCTGCTGGCATGGGCCCTCAGGGGCCTCCCCAACACTGGGCTCCAGAGAGAAGGGGGAGAAAGATCTGCTGTGCTGCTTGTCATTTCACAGCCAGGGAAACTGAGGCACAAGTCTGTGTACTCCCCTCCCCCTACCTCCAGTCCCACACAGCCAGCTCGGCTCATGGCACCCATGTCTGCCCGTGCTCGACACTGTCTTAACCTGTACCCTGTGCCCCGGGGCTGGAGGAAGGTTCCGATCGGCCAGTTCACATTAAAGAGAAGCGGGCATCGTACGCATTCTGATGGATTTGGGTCCCCGGGAGAGCAAAGCACCCATTGTTCCTCTTTGATTCCTATAAGCTGACAAGAGAGGGAAAAAAATCCCTGTTATTGTAGTCCTTAGCTATCTTCCTTAACCCCATGGCTAGTCATCTTCCAGTTCCGGCTCCTGACTAGCTGGGGGGACCCCTACTACATCGGCCTCACCGGGCTGGAGCTGTACGACGAACGAGGAGACAAAATCCCCCTGTCGGAAAACAGTATCCTCCCCATGGAAGGCTGGCCCGCAGGGCAGTGCTGGACGCACTTGTCCAGCTTCTCTGGAGGGACTGGAGCTCAGGGCGGCTGTGGCCGTGAATAGCCAGGGCCGCCTCTCCCCTTCCAGTCCAACTCAGACCTGGTTGGAATGGATGCACGGTGAATGCTTACCGGGGGCCGGCTCTGTGCCAGGGCTGGTCCACGGGCTTCTCTGCCCGGTGGCCTCTGCTGGGCCAGGCTGCCCCTTGCCTTGGGTCATGGCCTTTCATCTGTCAGTCTGAGCTGTGGTCACGTGTCCCCTGTCTGAGGATGCCCCCTCCCCCCCTCCCCTCCGGCATTGCCCCATGTGCCTCTCCCCCCCCTCCCCCAGTCCATTGTGGGGATTGAGCACAGGGCCTGGGTGCTGACCCTGAGCCTCTGTGCTCAAGGCTAGCGCTCTACCACTTGAGCCACAGCACCACTTCCAGTTTTTGAGTGGTTTAATTGCCCACGAGAGTCTGCCCGGGGCTGGCTTCAAACCACGACCCTCAGGTCTCAGCCTCCTGAGTAGCTAGGATTGCAGGCGTGAGCCACCAGCACCAGAGCTGCAGTGCAGGAACCCCGCTCCCCCCCCCCCCCCCCGTCCCTCAGCCCTGGTGGCGACCCCCACTCCCTGCTCTGCACTGTGACCTTAGCGCCCCTCAGACATCGCTGCGTTCCCCGACAGCGTGAACGTGCTGGAGGCCGTGCACGGGGACGTGCGCACCCCAGACAAGCTCATCGACGGCGTGAATGACACCAGCGACGGCAGACACATGTGGCTGGCACCAGTCCTGCCTGGCCTGGTGGGTGCCTGTGCCGCCATCCCACCCCCCTGCCCCGCCCGGCACGGGGTAGACACTGCCCTTGCCCTGTCTCCCCCCCCCCCCCGCCTGCCCCTCGCAGTGGGCCAGCCGCCCTGCCCTCCTCCTCCTGTCCGTCCCCTGGCCACTTCTGCCCTTCCCTATGCCCCAGCATGGATGCCCTGCCTTCCCTCTAGCCCCAAATCCGTGTGGTCAGCTGATCCAGCTGCGGACTCGGTTTCCTTGCACTCCAGCCCGTGGCCCTAAGAATGCCCCGTGAGCTGAGAGGTGACCCCCCCACCACCACCACTGGGCCTGACTGGCCGAGGTGGGGATGGAGGGGGCCGGGATGGGCACAGGTTGGCCACGTCCCTCCAGCGCCCCCCTGGGCCAGGGCTGGATGCCTGTGTGCACGGGCAGCAGGGTGGTAGGAGAGACACACCGTTAACGCACTCAGAACCTCAGAACCCTGAGGCCGCAGCCATGTTAGCTGGTGTTCACCAAAACCTTCCCCCCATGCCGCCTGGTGGGGAGCCCTCAGCTGCTGTCAGCTCCTTAGCTCCAGCTTCACTTCTGCAAAGTGGGGGCCCAGCGCCCTGGGGTGCCAGGCCTTCACTGCCAGGCCTGTGGCATCTGAGGGCAGAGGCAGACTCCCAGGTGACCATGAGCCTGAACCCGCCCCCCCCCCACGGACTCCCTCCTCCCCCTACCGCCTCCCCCCCATGGACTCCCTCTACCCCCAGCCTCCCCCCTCCCCCCATGACCTCCCTCTTCCCTCCTCCCCCCACCCCCCCTCCCCTGTTCCCCAGCCTCCAGGGCTCTAAGGAAGCCACAGACCAGGACCACGGCCCCTGCTGATGCCCAGAGTTTCTTTCGGCTTCCAAGTTTCTCTAAGCTGCCCAGGGTGGCTGTCTGGGGCCGGAGAGAGAAGGGTCTTTGGGGCTGTGGGGACCTGCCCTCCCTTGGGGGGTGTCAGTTAGGACCCAGACTGTGCTTCCTCTGATTCAGCCAAGGGACAAAAAGGGGGTGAGGACCCTGCAGACTTCCCCGGGGCTCAGGCTCCTGACTGGAATCCGGGACCCCCACAGAGCCTTCTGGCCACCCAAGGAAGCGGCCCGGCGAGAGCCAGCTCAGCAGTTCGTTGCAAACACGGCCACACGTGACCTGACTCCCGATGGGCTTGCTAGAGATGCCAGGCCTCAGGGCTCCAGGCTGGCAGCCGGCGGCCCAGTGGGCTTGATGGGGCAGTGCTGCGGCAGGCAGCGCCGACGGCTCCGGGGCTCCCCCCCTCCCCCCGTGCTTCCACACCCACACACGCCCGCCTCACCCGCGCTGTCCCGTAGGTGAACCGGGTCTACGTCATCTTCGACCTGCCCACCACGGTGTCCATGGTCAAGCTGTGGAATTACGCGAAAACCCCCCTCCGAGGGGTGAAGGAATTTGGTGTGAGTACTCACTAGCCGAGCCTCCAGAGGCAGCGGTGCTCGCTGGCAATGAGGCAGCCAGCTGTGACGCCATTTCCTTTTCTCTGCTGTAACCTTGCAAATGTCTTGTGCTTAGGCAGACGTGGGGAGATCTGGACCACCTGAGCCTGCTGCGGGGTCCCCCTGAATTTGGCTTTCCTTTGGTGGCTCCCCATTCCCTCCAGCTCCAGGAGTTGACAGGGAAAGCAGGGCTTGGGGACAGAGACCCCAGTTTGCCTCCAGCCTCAGTTTCTTCTTTGTGGCCCTGGGATCATTGTGCAAGCCAGGCACACAGCTTGTGGGTGGGTACTTGCTGGGTCTTCATGCAGACCAGCCAGCACACAGTAGGTCCATACTTGCTGGGGTCATCGTGCAGGTAGGTACACAGTAGGTCCCTATTTGCTGGGGTCATGTTGGCCAGGCACACAGTAGGTCCATACTTGCTGGGGTCCTCATGCAGGCAGGCACACAGTAGGTCCAAACTTGCTGGGATCATCATGCAGGCAGGCACACTGTAGGTCTATACTTGCTGGGGTCCTCATCCAGGCAGGCACACAGTAGGTCCATATTTGCTGGGATCATCATGCAGGCTGGCACACAGTAGGTCCATACTTGCTGGAATCATGTTGACCAGGCACACAGTAGGTCCGTACTTGCTGGGATCATGTTGACCAGGCACACAGTAGGTCCGTACTTGCTGGGATCATGTTGACCAGGCACACAGTAGGTCTGTACTTGCTGCCGACATTGACTCCCACAGGAGAAACATTAACTTAGAACAGGCAGGGCTCAGCCTTGCCCAGGTGGTGGGTGGACGCGGGATCTGGAGCCTCGTGTGTCCACCCAGCTCCTGGTGGACGACTTGCTGGTGTACAACGGCGTCCTGGCCATGGTGAACCACCTGATGGGCGGCATCCTGCCCACCTGCGAGCCCATGGTGCCCTACCACACCATCCTCTTCACCGAGGACGCCAACGCCGCTCACCAGAGACACCCCGTCCTCAGGTGCGCCCCGGCCTGCCCGCGGGAGGAAGCGGTAGGGGGGACCCCGGCCTCACCCCGGGTCTCATGGTCCCTCCCGCCCCCTCCTCCCCACAGCCACTGGGGCGAGGACCAGGACGTCCAGATGATGAACGAGAACCAGATCATCACCAACTCCAAGAGGAGGCCGGGCGTCGCAGACCCAGGTCAGTGGCCGCCCGCGGTGGCGCTCCCCCGCATGCATTTCCCCGCCAGGGGGCATCACAGCTGGGTAACGGGGCCCTATGTGTTCCTCTCCCTCAGCCCTGCGCCCCAAGACCTGCATCAGCGAGGAGCCAGCCAGGCAGCGGCGGTGCTGAAGGTGCTTGGTGGGCCCCAGCCTGGCCCGGCTCCACCCCAGTGTGTCTCAGACCTGTGTCAGCTGGCCAGGACCCCAGAGGCTGGAAGAGAACTCGGCATAGAGGGACATGGGGGCAGGAGGGGGAGGGTGACAGCCATGGGAGCCACAGGACTCCCATGGAGGACAGGGCTGGCCATAGAAGCTGGGCACACTGGGCCCTGCACCTCTCCTAGGTCCAGGCAGGTAGGCCTGGTCCAGCAGCATCTCAGGCCCTGAGCAGGCCCAGTAGGCGGGGCCAGGCTGTACTCCCACCAGCAGGCTGGGCCCTCATTGGCCCAGGCTGAGGTGGCCACACCCCCTGCTGGCTGAAGGGCCTCTGGGCCTGAGCTCAGGACTGCGGAGGCACTCTGGCTTGCCCTTGGTCCTGCCCAGGCCTTGTTGGGGAGAGGGGCCCTGGGGGTGGGGGGCAGGGGCTGGTTTTATAAAGGCCTCTCACCTCTTGCTAAGCCTAAGACCAGGTTGGCCAAAAGTGCATGATCTGAGCAGAGGAAGCAAACTTAGGTGGGGGACCCAACTCCCCTACCCCTCCAGCCTAGTACCCCTTCCTCCTTCCTTTCCCTTGTGAGGTTCAGCTCCTCTCTTTCCCCCTCCTGAAGCTCAGCCTCATCCCGGTGAGCTGGAAAGGTACCCTGGACCCCACCCCCCACCCCCGCAGTCCCCCCCTAGCCAAAGGGAGCCCGGAACGCATCTATTTCCATCTTTGTCACAAGCTCGGATCAGGGACCTAATTGGTTTCCCAGTGGTGGGTAATTTATTGTTCCAACTACTAATCCGTTTTCGGGCTGGCACTCGGCCTGGTGCAGCCCGGCCTGGGTACTGTACTCTGTGCGTTTGTTTCTACGCAACCCAGAGCCCAGAGATGGCTTTGTGAAGGGGCCTGAGCGTAGAGCCGCTATGCAAATGCGCTTTTCGTCCAGAAGGCAGGGCCAACACAGAGACGGGAGTTGTGTTTTGGGGGAGACGATCCAGTAGCCATCAAGGCCCCCCAGCTCCTCTGTTTAGCTCCCAGATCCACCAAGCTCCTCCTCTGGGCGCCCTGGAGAGCTGCTGCCATTCCCAAAAAGCCAGAGGCCAATCAAACCAGCTCCTAGGACCAAATCCAGAGCCCTGCTTTCCTGGGAGCCTCTGAGCCCCAGCAAGGCCAAGGCCTCGGCTCCCGGCTGGATTCATGGGGGTGGGGGTGGGGCAGCCATCGGGGTTCACACACATCCAGGACCCCGGTTGATGTGTCTAATAACTCTGGTACCATACAATCTAGGAGGAAGGAAGGGAACTAGACAGGTATAACTTTGTAATAAATTTCTATTTTTTTTTCCTCTTGCAAATCAATAAAAAAAAAAATGTTACTAAGAATAGAGTCTGGGACTGGGAAGGTAGCTCAGTGGTAGAGCGCTTGCCTTGCATGCATAAGGTCCTGAGTTCTATTCCACAACACCACATAAGCAGAAAAAGCTGGAAGTGGCGCTGTGGCTCAAGTAGTAGAGCATTGGCTTTGAGCTGAAGGGCTGAGGGACAGCGCCCAGGCCCTGAGTTCAAGCCCAGTACAGCACTCGACAACAACAACAAATAATGGTGCAGCAAAGTCTTAGGCGGGAGTCACAGACTGCCACCAACCAAGGCCATGCCAGAGACGAGGGGCTTCTGTGGGGCAGGGGAGGAGGGGGACCCGGCTCAGCCGGGACCACCAGAGCCAGTTGAGCCATGTCAGGGGTCTAGGCTATCCCAGAAGGCCTTGGTCCCAGGGCAGACAGGCCCTTCACTGGGTCACTAGAGTACCACAACCCCAGTGACCCCCTGTCCCAGCCCACATCTGCCAGACACCCAGGTGGTCTGTTTGCAATGTGAAATGGAACGTCTCAGAGTTGGCTCAACTCAGGCAAGCACCCGGCAGGATCCCAGCACCACCGGGAGCAGGCAGCCTGGCCAGAAAGCCATCTTGCTGTGGCCCCTCAGGCCAGCCTGGACATCTGCCTCCCTCCCACTGGTAGCACTGGGGGGGGGGGTCAGGTGGGGCTTCCCCTGGGTGCCCAGGGCTGGGTGGGCAGGTGGCTGTCTGGGCACAGGCCTGGGGGTTCATCTCCAAGCAGGGATAGCCCGAGAGCCTGGAGGTCCCTCCTGGGCACAAGTACCAGGCCATCGCTCATCCAGGCGGGGCTCACAGGCTCGGCTCTTCACACTGTCTGGCGATGCCTAGGGCTCATAATCGGCTGTCTTCATCTGCTGTCGGCTTTCAGGATAGAATCTGATTTCCCCCCTGAGCAGTGAGTGAACCAGTGCGGCTGGTGAGGCCCCAGCTCTCGGGGCCCCGGACCCCTCGGGCGCCTCGTGCCCGACGGCGTCTCCCTGGCTGGGCAGTGTGCCCTGCCCAGGGGTGCATCGCACACCAATCTTGTCGTCACTCCAGGAAACTGCCCGGCTCACTACCCAACAGCCTTCACCTCACGCACAAGCTCCGTGGCGGAAGGCACACTGGCTTCCCTGGCGTGTTGGCGGTGATGTGCAATGGTCCTGGGGTCGTCAGCAGGCGTAGGTTCAATCCCTTCCTGGACATGTGACCTGGGATAGTGCCCTGGCCCAGGCTTCCTTGTCCAGGTAGCAGGGGCATCCTGGAGGATGCCTAGCCCTCAGAGAAGCAGAGCCTCAAAATGGCCCTTGTTTCCTGGGGGCACCCACAGAGACAGGAAGACAGAGCTACCCAAGGGCTGGAAGTGACCATGGCAGGCTCCGCCCCCTGCCCCGCCCCCTGGCTGATTGGCATGAAGGGCACTGGCTTTAGAGCTGCCCATTGGCTGAGTAGACGTTAATGCCCCACCCCTTCACTGCAAACTCCTCCTCCTCGATGTCCTCATTCCTTGTCCCTAGGATTCCAACCACTGCCCCCCCCTCATTTCTCCCTCCTTACCCCAGGCCTCCAGTTGGCTCATGGGACAAACTACCTCTACTGCTCCCTGGACCCCAGCTGTCCAGAGAAGTGGCCCGGGCCGTGAAATGTGTCTTGAGAGGCGACCAGGGGATGGGGCACCGGGCCTGCCTGGGGACAGGCAGACAGGGCCCTGCGCCTTTGCTTCCTGTCCGCGGGTGGACGGGATGGGCCTCTTCTCCCCAGGATCAGCAGCTTTGCTGTGGACCTCTGTCCCACGGGCAGTGGAGCCTGGGTCCCTGCCCTCCAGTGCACGTGTAGACCCCACCCTGCATTTCTTCCACACTTCTGTCATTCACTCGGCATCCCACAAGGCCTCTGCGGCCTCCAAGTGGCCTCTCCAGACGACCTTCCCAAATGTCTGCCTTTAAGAACCCTTCTACCCAAGGCTTCCAGCACCCCTCAAGATGAGGAGCCCGCCCTTGCCGTAGCCGGCAGAGCCCCCCCTCCACCCCCAAGCCTTCCTATCCTCACCAGGGTTTCAAGCATACTCTCCTGCCATAGTGCTGCACGGTCCACACCGAACCACTACCAACCCCAGGGCCCTTGCACATGCCTTTGCCTCCATACACTTTACCTGCTTCACCCTTCCTGCCCTAATCTACAGGACACTCACCCAATCTGAAGTGCTATCTTCTTGTATGGGGTTGTATGTGTACCAGGCAGCCGCCTGGCCCCAGAAGCATGCATATCTCTCGGTAACTAGAGCTTGAATGGAGGTCTGAACCCAGACCCCTCTTGGCAGCTCAGGGTGCTCTGAGTGGCCTCTCTCCCTCCCCAGTGATGGCTCCGTGTCCTCTTTGCAGACGAGGCTCCCCGCTGGCTCTGTCTTCCAGCCTGGCTGTTGTAGACAAACCCATGAATCACACTGACGTTTCCATTACCCGGAGACCAGCTTGTGGCTGGGACCGGGTGGCAGGCCGGGCGCTGCGGGGTGACTGCTCCTGACAGCCACCAGCCAGGGGGGACATCAACCATGTTTCTTAAGAGGCCGGGGCGAGGACCGTGGCCCCGTGCTGCCTGTGCACCCAGGGTGGGTATGTCACAGTGCCAGCCGAGTACCACAGGGCAGGACATGAGTAGATGTCCAGGCCTGGCAATGCACCCATGCGCTGACACAGCCCGGAGACCAGACGGGTGCCGGCTCCTGCGCCTGCCATGTCGGCTGCTGTGAGTGTCCTTGGACAAGGTCAGCTGCAGTGTTTCCGTGGGGTGGCCAGCCCGCGGCGGGGAGCTGGGCTTCTCTGAGGCACAAGGCCGTGTATCAGGCCCCAGGAGGGCCTCAGGATCAAGAAGCCCCCCACGGACACCCACCGGGCCTCCCGCCGCAGGACGGGTCTGCTGGGCACAGGGATCCATGGTAGGACAGAGGAAGGGGCCCCAGGCTGCCCCCCCCCCCCGGGACAGACAGACGGCTGCTCCAGAATGTGCTCCTTTTGATCTAACCAGCAGCCTTCTTGCTGCCTGCCTGCCTTTCTTTCTTACCTTCCTTCCTTTCTTTCTTACCTTCCTTTCTTTCTTTCTTACCTTTCTTTCTCTTTCTTTCTTTCTTTCCTTTCTTTCTTTTTCTCTTTCTTTTTCTCTCTTTCTCCCTTCCTTTCTTTCTTTCCTTTTCTCCCTTCCTTCCTCCCTCCCTCCCTCCCTCCCTTCCCCTCTCTCTTTCTTTCTTTCTTTCTTTCTTTTTCTCCCTTCCTCCCTCCCTCCCTCCCTCCCTTCCCCTCTCTCTCTCTCTTTCTTTCTTTCCTTTCTTTCTCCTTTCCTTTCTTTCTTTTTCTCCCTTCCTCCCTCCCTCCTTTCCCCTCTCTCTCTCTCTTTCTTTCTTTCCTTCCTTTCTTTCTCTCTCTTTCTTTCTTTCCTTCTTTCTTTCTTTCTTTCTTTCTTTCTTTCTTTCTTTCTTTCTTTCTTTCTTTCTTTCTGTCATGGGGCTTGAACTCTGGGCCTGGGCGCTGTCCCTCAGCTCTTCAGCTCAAGGCGAGCGCTCTACCACTTGAGCCACAGCACCACTTCCTGTTTTCTGGTGGTTTACTGGAGATAAGAGTCTTACCATCTTTCCTGCCCGGGCTGGCTTTGAACTGTGATCCTCAGATCTCAGCCTCCTGAGTAGCTAGGATCACAGGCGTGAGCCACCGGCGCCTGGCTCCAGTGCAGTTCTTTAAAGCCAATTTGCTTCCTTTTTACTGAAGTGCCAATTTGGGTTCACCCTGAGCAACAGCGCCAGGTTCGCACACGCGTGTGCCTATTACATGGTTGTCTTCTAATGCACATTTGCATAAACATGACTCAAATTAAAAATGTGCCCACGCGTGACCTTTGCAGGGACCCTGGGGGTGATGATGGGGGGCCCAGCGGGACACTGTGTGACCTGTTCCTACTCAGCCTGGGGACACGGTGGAGCCTTCTGGAAGGAGGCCAAAGGCCTTTGAACCTGGACCCCAGGACTCCTCCCAGCCCCATCACCAGCCCCCACAGGAGATCCTCCATCACCACCCCCCACAGGAGATCCTCGGCGCCCACTGAACTAATGCAAGATGAGCAGCCACATTGCTCTCTGAAATCATGAGTGCATGCATGGAGTGAACCCGTACACGCCTCCTCCAGGTGTCCCCGAAAGCCTCATCTTCCCATCCCCCTCCCCCAGTCAGTCCCTCCCAAGCCCCCCCCCTTGTCCCTCCCTCCCAGCTCCTGAGTCTCCCCTGGTGCCACCCCCCAGGGCTACCAATCGTAAGCCACACCCCTCTCCTCTCACTTCCTGACAAGGACCACAAGGGAGGCGCGTCTCCCACATCTGCCCCCGGCCCAGAACAGCAGGGGTTTTCTAGAATGTACCCCGCAAGTATCCAGTCATCTTCAGGACAAGCCACCCCTCACATGGCTTCCAGCCCCCCCTTGCCTGGCTCCAGAGATCTCCGCCGGGGGACTGCCCATGTCTGGACCGGTTTCAAGTCCTAGAATATCCTGTCTTCCCACACTGGAACCCGAATCCCAGCACCTCGAATGGCTTGATCCTTACCTGAAGGAGCCTCTCCTCGCCACACCTTGCTCAGGCCCGGCTGCTGCCTGGAGCTGCCTGCAGACCACCTCCTGGCGCCCTGGTTTTCTGTGATTTACGCTCCTCCCCTCCGCCACCCTCCCCACACACACCAGCCTTTCAGAAGCAGGGTTAAGAAGATTGCCACCAAAAGGATGAGGAAGCAGAAGTACATGCCTCCGTTCCAAGCAGAGAAGGTGGCATCTGAACCCTGGCCAGCCCTGGCGCTGAGCACCACAGCACATTGCACACTGTGCGGTGAGCATTGCTCTTGTCATCTGCTCTGCTCATCTACTCTCGAAGTTTCCATATCTGTCTGAAGAGCTGGCCTCAGACAGGCACAAAGGATGTGGTGGATGACACCAATGGAAACACTAGATGGATAGATGGATGGATGAGTGGTGAATGGATTATAGATGGATGGGTGGCATATGGGTGAGTAAATGGATGAGTAGATGGATGGATGGATGAATGAGGGGATGGGTGGGTGGGTGGATGGATGGGTGGATGGATGGGTAGATGGATGGATTGATGGATGGGTGGGTGGATGGATGGATGAATGGATGGGTAGATGGATGGATGGATGGGTGGATGATGGAATGATTGATGGGTAGGTGGATGGGTAGATGGATGGATGAATGGGTAGGTGGGTGGATGAGTAGATAGATGAATGGATGGATGGATGAATGGATGGATGGATGGGGGGTAGATGGATGGATGGATTGGTGGATGATGGAATGATTGATGGGTAGGTGGATGGGTAGATAGATGGATGAATGGATGGGTGGTACACGGATGGTAGATGGGTGGGTGGATAGGTGGGTGGATGAATGGATGGGTAGATGGATGGATGGATGGGTGGGTGTATGGATGGATGGATGGATGGGTGGGTGAGTGGATGGATGGATGGGTGGAAAATGGATGGATTGATGGGTGGTGGATGGGTGGGTAGATAGGTAGGTAGATGAATGGATGGATGGGTAGATGGATGGATGGATGGATGGGTGGGTGTATGGATGGATAGTGGGTGGATGGGTGGGTGGATGGATGGATGGTGGGTGGATGGGTGGGTGGATGGATGGGTGAGTGGATGGATGGATGGATGGGTGGGTGGATAGATGGAGGATGGACAATAGAGGATACATGGATGGATGGGTGAAGGAGAAGCATGTGCTCTGGCTGAGTCCCTAGAACTTCTAGGAAGGGTAGGGGCATCCTGGAGGCTGGTCTTGGAGACTGGAGTCCTGGTTCAATGGCTTTGCCAACAGCAGCCCACACTCCTCACAGGTTCCTTGGTCCCTGTTTTCCTATGTGGCGTCATCTTACAGCGGAGATCACTTGCTCAGGGCGTCTAGGCCTGGCATGGGCAGGTGGCCCTCAGCACAGGGTGACTAACGGGAGAAATGTGGCTCTCTCCTCTGTCCACTCAGAACCCAGGCTGGGCCTGTCTCTCACCCATCCTCTGGGATCGGTCAGACCCGTCTGCCTGTGTCCATCTCATTCTGAGTCGCATGTACCCCTCTCTCTGTCCACCCTTGAACATCAACTCTGGGCCGTCACCTGTGTCCTGGAGAGCAATGGGGCTGGACACAGCAAGAAAACAGGTTCAACAAGCATTTATTGAGTCTCTACTATGTGCCTGCTGTGTGTGATCCCCTCCCCGCAGTGCCAGCTGCTGCCCCTCCTTCAGGAACCCTCCCTGTCCCCACAGGGTCCTGCCCCCTGGGTCCCCCATCAGCCCCCTGGCCAGTGGTGGGTGCCCAGCCTTTGGCGGCCAGCGTCCATGTCTCTTCTTAGCATCCAGGCTGTACCCCGACAGGTGTCTGCCAGTGACGGCAGGATTTCAGGCTGCGGCCCCCCGGGCCTCTCTAAGCCTGTGTGTCCCCTTGTCTCTCCTGGAGCAACTCAGGGCCCTGGGGACCCAGGCAGTGGCAGGTGGCAGCAGGCCGAGCCTGGCATCTCCTCGGCGATGGGCTGAGTCCACAGGACGTGGTCAAGGTGCCCAGATGACCCGATGACCGGCGTGGCGGGAAGGGCGTTAGCAGCCACGACGGCGGGCATGTGGGCCTGGCAGGCTCCTCACACCCAGTGCCCCAGCACCCAGCACTGGCGGCTCAGCTCGGGCGCCTCCTGGGCGGAGCTCCGGGGCCAGGAGTCAGCCATGTGTGCCTGGTGTCCTGCAAGAGACAAGGGCCAGAGCTGAAAGTCCCCTCCACTCCCTCCAACCACCTACCTCCTGCCTTGCACGCTCCACAGATCGCTGCTGTCCATGCCACCTGGCCACAGCTGCCGATCTCCTCCCCTCCCCACGCCTGCCCACCGGTGTACCTGTCCAGCCTCCCCCTGTCCCAGCCACACCCTCCTGTTCACCCACCAGCCGCCCTCCCAACCGTCCACCTCTGCGTCTATCTGCCCTGGCTGCATGTACACCTGCAGAGAAACCGCTGAGCCACAGATCCCTGGCGAAGTCAAGCTCTGGCTTGATTACCTCTAAGGACAGAGAGCTCACTGCTGGCCCTTCACCACCACTCCCAAACCTCTTGGTCAGAAACAACGGCTGGAGAGGCAGGGAGGATGGAGATGGCTGTGTGTGTGTGTGTGTGTGTGTGTGTGTGTGTGTGTGTGTGTGTGTGTGTGTGTGTGTGGCTCCAGGCTAGCTCTCTACCACTTTGAGCCACCACATCACTTCCAGTTTTCTGGTGGTTAATTGGAAATGAGAGTCTCATGGAGCTGGGCACTGGTGGCTCACACCAGGAGGCTGATATCTGAGGATCATGGTTTTGAAGGCAGAAAAATCGGTGAGACTCTTATCTCCAATAAAAAGCCAGAAGTGTTGTTGTGGCTCAAGTGGTAGAGCGCTAGCCTTGAGCACAAAGAGGCTCAGGGACAGTGCCCAGGCCCTGAGTTCAAGTGCCAGGACAGGCAAAAGAAAAAGCTTTATGGGCTGGCTCTGAACCAGGATTCTCAGATCTCAGATCTCCTAAGTAGCTAGGATTACAGGCTTGAGTCAGTGGTGCCAGGTTTATCCCTAAAAAAAAAAAAAAAGAGCACTTTGCAAATGTTCTGGAATTATCTGGCCTTGCCGGGGTGGGGGGGGGGGAGGGGGGCGGGGAGGGGGGGAATGGCTGTTTCTGGCCTCAGAGACTAAAACAGTTGTCATTTGGAAATGTTTCTGCCAAGATAAAGGTGTTTGGGTTTGTTTGTTGTCTTGATTTTTTTTTTCCAAATAGAGAAGCAAATATTTGATACTGTGAAAAGCTTTGCTTGTTTTCTCTATGATTATTTAGAGATGGTCACACAGCCCCCATGGCTGGCTGAACCTGGTTCCTATATGGGAACCTGGAAAGTTAATATGCTTTATTTTGGGTATGGACAGCAGTACTAGGGCTTGAACTCAGGACCTGGGTGCTGGTGCTTAGCTTTTTCTTTCAAGGCTGACACTCTACCACTTGAGCCACAGCTCCACTTCTGGCTTTTGGGTGGACCATTGGAGATAAGACTTTCCAGCTGGCCTGGACCCACAAACCTCAGAGCTATTCAGCCTCCCGAATAGCTAGGAATATAGGCGTGAGCCACGGCACCCCCCGTACATGGTGTGTGTGTGTGTGTGTGTGTGTGTGTGTGTGTGTTGTTTATTTTTGTTTCATTTTTCAGGGAAAGAAAAGCCCAGCTCCCTTGTCCTTGCTTGAGTTAAAATTGAGCTTCCTGTCCCTTGACTCCAGACTCCTTCACTGAGGCTGGGACTCTCTTCTCTTCCTCTGGTCTCCAAGAGGGGCTCGGGGCCTGCCAGCAGCTCAGCAGAGCCTCCCTCCCATGCCTTTGCTTTGGGAATAAGCTGGTAACAACCGGATGAAGGACCGGATGCAGAGGACGCCAGATCCCAGCTCAAAAGAGGCTCTGGGTCCAAGCGAACTACCTGTGTGTACAGGAAGAAGAGAGGGAGGCCATCCCCTCCCTCCAGCCAAGTGTGTGTGTGCGCGCGTGCGTGTGTATGTTGGGTTCAGATCTCCCAAAATATTCAGAGAAGCTGAGGATGCACATTTCAAAATAAAACCTCTGGCTCCAAAATGACGGCAAAAAGTTAAAAAAGAAATGTATCTTTTGGATCTTTGGCAAACCAAGCGGTGTCTTGCCTGCAGGCAGCCCGGGCCCGCAGGAAATCATTTCCACCCCTGGCAAAGCCAATAAGAAGGGAAAAAATGACAAGGCAAGCGAGGGCTGGGCTGTGGCTCAGGTGGTAGAGCGCCTGTGTAGCAAGCGTAAGGCCCTGAGTTCAAGCCCTTTGGAGAACCTTGTGTAAGTCAAATCCCCTGAGAAGCCTGGGTGGAGGTGGGGTGTCGGGCTGCAGCCTCAGGGCAGCAATGGGGTCACCTGCCGGGGCCGGGCTGCCTTCACTGGGCTGGACTGGGAGACGCTGGCTGATGCCCCAGGGCACATGCGCCGCGTGGCTCAGGCAGACGGGACTGGTGGATGAAGCAGACTCTTGGCCAGCCTGTGAACCTTTTAAGAGGTGTGAGAAGCCCAGCAGGCTGTGCGGGGAAGATGAGCCACAAGGACAACTGGAAAGCAGAGTGTGCTGGACTGGGGGCGGGGCCTGGGGTTGCATCGGTGCTGGGTGCTGGGTGCTGGGTGCTGGGTGCTGGGTGCTCGGTGCTGGGTGCTGGTGCTCAGTGTAAAAGCAGCCAGATTCACCCGCACCTCAGGGGTTCCTGTCTTTGCACAGGGTAACCGGACACCATCCCCAGCCCCAACCCACGCGGAGGGCCGATGGGAGGCCGATGGACCGGGCAGGGAAACCGCATTTCAGCAGGTGCCGTGATGGCAGGTGGCCATCGGCTGCCCCACTGCCCAGTTCTGTGTGGTCTCCACACCAACACCCGCTCCCCCCCCTCGACTTACCCCATGCCTGGGTCCCAGATGCCACCCCACCGTGGGCTCCCTGCCCTCCCTACTGATATTTATTCCACAAATACGCTCTGCTTCCGTGTTAATAAAGGAAGAGACTTGAGGCGCCCCCCGATTGGATCTGATTCCCATCTAATAAAAATGCCAAGTTGCTGTGGGCTCAGCCGTGAAATTTCCTCTGCTGCACCCAAGGCCGCAGTGGTTGAGACCCGTCCAGACGGAAGCTCCCAGAAACTCCCAGAAGCTGCCTCTGTGCCTGGCCAGGCCCGGCCGGCAAGAGTCAGGCACTGAGGAGCGCAGACAGCCAGGATGGTCTGTGGGGTTCAGCCGCCTGGACACGGAAGGGCAGGCCTGCTCCGACCGCCATCGGATGTCACCTTCCACGTGTCCCCAGCTAGCTGGTGGCACCAGCTAGTTCGGAAACCAACTCATTCTTCCATGAGAATAAGCCACAGAAACCCAGAGTGAGCAGCAACGTCGGGGCCCGTTTTCAGAGAATGGAGCATCGGTGCCACGGCTTATACAGACACGGTAGCGGGGATGGGGGATGGGGGTAGTGACGCAGACAAGCACTGGACTTGTACTGTGCGCCACGCTGGCCCCAGGAGACACACAGGAGACCACAGGACGCAGGGTGGGTGGGAAACGGAGCCGGGCAGACAGACAGGAACCACACAGAAATACAGACGAGAGTCTCCGACAGGGACAAAATTGGAAAGAAGAGAATGTGTGAGGTGAGCAAGGTGGGTGGCTCACGCTTGTAATCCCAGCCCTGCGGGAGGTGGAAATTAGGAGGGTTGTGGTTCAAGGCCAGTTAGCAAGACTTCATCTCAGTAAATAAGTGGGATGTGATGGCTCATGACTGTACTAAGGAAGGCATGGGGAGGGAAGAAGGAAGGAAGGAAGGAAGGAAGGAAGGAAGGAAGGCAGGAAGGAAGGAAGGAGAGGGAGGCAGGGAGGGAGGGAGGAAGGAAGGATGAGGCCATGTTGGGCAATTAGACTGGTGTAGATGGGAGACAGCTCCCGTGAATAGGACAAAATGAGGCACGCACAGAGAGATGTAGCAGGCCAGCACCGGGGCAGGTGGCCCCAGGGAAGGATGGGCTTGGGGGCTCCAGCTGTTGGGGGGGGAAGAAGAGTCAAGGCCTAGAGTGGACCATCATCCAGGGAATAGGAGATCGCAGCAAAGTTGATGGCCTTCAGAGCCTCAGTTTCCCTCCTTGCACGAAAAGCCAGCCCCTCTTCTCAAGGCTCTCAGCCTCCTGCCAGCAAGCCGGGCCTGAGCAGCTGCTCCCGGCAGACGCATTGTAAAACTCAGCCCCGGAAGCTCTAAAATATGGTCTGGGCGGGGAACCCGCCGGCTGCAAGAGGCCGGATCCTGAGCTGCCGAGGCCCTGCCTTCCCCTGCCCCTGCCTCCTCCCCTCCCGCCTGCCCCGGCCCCCATCCAGGCTTGTTCTGATCACGGGCCTCGCTCCATGTCCACTTCTGGCTCTTTTGGAGGAAGGGGTTAATTAATTGGAGATAGAGTCTCACGGGCTTGTCCACCCGGGCTGAGTGTGAGCCACGGATCCTCAGATCTCAGCCTTCTGAGTAGCTCGGGATGACAGGCGTGAGCCACGGGTGCCAGGCAGCCGCTTTGATGACTCCGGCCATTGGGTGGAGTGGGACTGGCCAGGGTCTCCCTGTTCTCCGGTCACACAGGCACAAGCAATGGGCACACGGGGGCGGAGGCGACAGCAGGGGCGGCAGGTAGGGATCTGGGGCATGTGGCTCCCGGGACACCAGGAGGAAAAACTGAGCATGCTCAGAACGCGGAGCTCACACTGCACAGGAAGGCTTGGCTCACAGCGCCACACCACCAGCAGCCTGCCGCCGGTCCATGGGCACAGCTCAGCGTCACCTCATTGCTTCAGTGGTGTGTGTGTGTGTGTGTGTGTGTGTGTGTGTGTGTGTGTGTGTGTGTGTGTGTGTGTGTGTGTGTGTGTGTGTGCGTGCTTGAATTCAGGGTCTGGGGCACCCTTGACTTGGTGAATTCCCTCCACTCAGGCTACTCTCTCTCTGTCTCTCTGTCTTTCTGTCTGTCTGTCTGTCTGTCTCTCTCTCTCTCTGAGGCAGACCCCCAGGCTGTGATTCCCCACAGCTCCCTGCTCTACCTCTGCCTCTGCATTCCCGCCTGATATGACAGCTGCAGCTTGGGGTTCCAGTCACTATGCTGAGACCCCAGCCTCAGTTTCCCCAAACAGAGGCGGGGTGGGGACCCTGGGGATCGCTGGTGAGCAGAGGTGCAGGGGGAGGGACCTCGAGGATTGGCAGCTGGGTACTTACGAGTTGAATAGCCCTGGTGGCGACAGTCTAAGCGGAAGTCCTCCTCCTCGCTCCCATCGCCCTTCTCCATCCTGGGAAGAAAGGAAGAGATGAATGAAAGGGGGGAGGGAAGGAAGGAAGGAAGAAAGGAAGGAAGGAAGGAGGAAATCAGGCACTGGTGGCTCACGCCTGTCATCCTAGTTACTCAGGAGGCTGAGATCTAAGGATTGTGGTTCAAAGCCAGCCTGGGCAGAAAAATCCATGAGACTCTGATCTCTAATGACCAGAGAACCAGAAATGGAGCTGTGTCTCAAAGTGGTAGAGTGCTAGCCTTCAGCAAAAATGCTCCGGGACAGAGGCCAGGCCCCGAGTTCAAGCCTCACGATCAAAAAAAAAAAAAAAAAAAGGAAAGATATAAAGGTGGGATGGGTTGGAATACAATGTAAACATGTAGAAATATAACAATGAAATCCCCACTATGTAACTAATATAAACCAATAAAAACAAAAATCCATGCAGGTACCGATGGCTCACAGCTGTCATCCTAGCTACTAAGGAGGCTGAGATCTGAGGATCACAATTCAAAACCAGCCCAAGCAAGAAAGTCCATGAGACTCTTACCTCCAATTAACCACCAGAAAACAGTTGTGGTTCAAAGTGGTAGAGCACAAGCCTTGCGCCAAAGAAGCTCAGGGAATAACACTCAGACCCAAGTTCATGCCTCAGGACTGGCACACACACACACACATACACACACACACACACACACACACACACACAATTCAAGCACATGTTTGAGAATGAGGCTGAGCTGACAGAGATTGGAGCCTCGCTTTGGGGGGAAACATTTTACAAAGGACACTTACACCTCTTGGTGGGAAGATCTTTTACCTTCGTATTTTTTTATGTAATGCTTGGGAAAACTGAGGCAGACTAGAGAGGCAAGCCTACTGTTCTCACAGAAAAGAAGACCCCCAGTTGCCAGCCAATAATTGTGTGGTTCACCAACTCTGTGCATCACAAACCAGGCGTGCATCACAAAAGTTCACTTGCTTTCCCAGATTACACACTGATCTGCACAGGGAAATAGTGAGGAGAATATAGGTCCAACCGTCCATGTGGGTTATTCAGTAAGACAAAAGGTAAGGAATCAGATCTAGAGCCTTCCTTATACATAACCTTACTTTCTGTTTTGAGGGTGATAGGCTTTTCATAGCTGCTTAATATTTGGGGTGGGTTTTTTGGGGGTGGTAGATAGTCCTGGCTCGGGGGCTTGAACTCAGGGCAGGCATCTGGGCCTGGCAATGGAGCAGCCTATCTGCTGGCATTTGTTTGTCACTTATGCGAATCCCAGAGGCCCCCACCCCCACCCCGGGCCCGTCCAGCGTCACAATCCTGTGCCCTAGAGGAAAACCCACTCCAGCTGTAGGCTCCCAGCGGACGCTGAGGAGCATCAGCTGCCACGGGCATACAGCTGGAACCTTCCCCCTGTCTCTTTCTTCCTCATTGTCTGCTTTGCTGCAGCCTGAGACCTCTCTTTCCTCCGGTCTCACTTCTAACCCTGTCCCCAGCTCTGTCCAGGACTGGGCATGGCGTTCTCACGTTCTTCACCCTCCCTGACTTCCCGCCTTTCTCTCATCCAGGACATCACAGGCCTGTTCTCTGCCTTCCCATCCGTCCCCCTAGTGCAGAGCCGGAGGCTGGGGGAGGCCAGGCAGGGTGTCTCTGTGTGAGGGGAGGGGAGGGGAGGGGAGGGAATAGTAGTTTGTGCCAAATGTAGGGCATAAGCCAGTAAGGCTAACTGCCCAGCCTCCAGCCTCCAGCCTCCAGCCTGCCTTAGAAATGGCAGGTGTTAGGGGCATGGGTATGGTAGAGCACATGCTCATCAGAGTGCTGAGTTCCATCCGCAGTACTGCTTTGCAGAGAAGAAATGTAATAAACGAAAATAGAATGGACGGAGGGAGGGAGAGAGGGGGTGGAGAAGGAGAGAGAGAGAGAAAGGGAGGGAAGGAGGAAGGAAGAAAGGAAGAATGGAGGGGAGGGAGGAACGAAGAAAGGAAGGAGAGGGAGGAAGTAAAGGAGAGGCAGGGAGGGAGGGAGGGAAGGAAGGAGGGAGGGAGGGAAGGAGGGAGGGAAGAAGGACTTGAGGACCGGTGGTTTCCTTGGGAGGTGGTCTCAGGAAAGACTGAGAAAGGAAGGAAGGGCCGCATGGGCTCCCCGATAGCCTGTGTTGGATCGCTCCTTTGGTTGTTGTTTGTGGTTTTTTTGCCAGTCCTGGGGCTTGAACTCAGGGCCTGGGCATTGTTCCTGAGCTTCTTTTACTCTACCACTTGAGCCACAGTGCCACTTCCAGCTTTGTCTGTGTATGTGGTACTGAGGAATCGAACCCAGGGCCTCCTGCATGCTAGGCAAGCGCTCTACCACTGAGGGATCGCTCATTTGGGAATGGCCACGCCTCCAGCTCCACCCTCCCGGGGATGGGCAGGGCCAGCCCAGCGCCCACACTGACCTCTCCCGGAAGTACTTGATGGCCTCTGGATCCATGAAGGTGGGCTCTTCCCGGTAGCCTTGCTCGAAGACCTTGCGCTTGTGCCGGAACTCGATGACGGTCTTGGTGTAGGAGTTGAGCGTGGTGACAGAGGCCGCCATGCAGCAGGTGAAGGAACCCCAGGCCAGGCTGGAGGGGGAGAGAGAGAGAGGAGAGCAGGACATGGACGTCCCAGTGAGGACTGGCCAGGGTGGGGAGATTCCAGGCCACGCCCCCTCCCCTGCCGGCCATGCCCAGGCACCGCCCCCAGCAGAAGGGAACAGAGCGTGCAAAGCCAGGGAGACAGGAGGCCGCAGGAAGTGGGGGGCGGGGGGGGGGGGACTCTGGAGAGTCACAGGTGGGGTTGATGATGGAGCAGGACAAAGGCCAGCTCTAGGCGTCACCATGATGTTCAAGGATACAGTGGCCCTGCGCCGTTAATAGGTTGGACATCTGGCCACGGAGATCAGCCCGCTGTCCCTTGCCTGACTTGCATGGCGAGTTCTACCCCTGGGAGGTAAAGCTGCTTTGCCTGGCTGTGGGCCACGCTTCCGTTCTAGAAATGACATCCAAGCCGATCACTCTGGGCAGGACGGTGTACCAGGAGTTGGGTAGCTCATCCAACCTCCCAGTCATGGTTTTTAGGTCTGTCTTTTGTTTTTCTTGGTGCAGGTCCCGAGGTTACACTTAGGGCCCGAGTGGTGTCCCCGAGCTTTCCTTTCTTTGCTCCAGGCTGGGGCTCTACCTCTTGAACCACAGCTCCACTTCCAGCCTTTTTGGTGGCTCAGTGCACCTGAGAGTCTCCCAGACTTTTCTGCCAGGACCGGCTTCGAAGTACGCTCCTCAGATCTCAGCCTCCTTGACTAGCTAGTGTGACAGGTGTGAGCCACAGGTAACCCGGCTCTGTGGATTTTTCTACATGAACCATCTCATCATCTATCTGATTTTATTTCTGTGTGTGTGCGTGCTTTATTGTACTATGGAGAACATCTCAGCCCTGGAGACCAAACACCCCGTCTGTCCGTGCGGTGGCAGCCAATAGGGACTCCTACCAACTCTTCACGGAGTTGGAGCAGGGAGCTCAAATTCCCCAAGCCTTTCCCGCCACGCCTAGACGTCTAATTGTGCTTTTCCCTCCATCACTGGAGCGTTTGATTTCCCCTCAGTGTGTGGATATGGTGGGTGGACGATGACTGGTTTTCAAATACCTAACCAGCCTTCCGCGCTGGGGCCGAGCCCCCTGGCTGTGGTGTGGAAGGGATTGATTTTCTATATCGATGCTTCCTAGCCCTTATTATTTTGAACGGGAAGTGATTTCGCTTGCAACTGTGATAGTCGGGGTATTTTTTTTTTAATGAGATTATGGACCTCATTTAAACCTTGGGGATTCAGCGGCCTTTCATTCTGATAAGAAAAGGGGAGGGGCTGCCCGCTGGTCCCTCCCAGCCAGGGGTGGACGCCCAGGTCTGCCACGTACACTGCCCCCCCCCTGCCCCCCTCCCCCCCCCACCCCCTCCCCCCTCCCCTGGCCATGAGCTCTGGGCAGGGGTGTGAGACGTGGCTCTCCGCACTGGGCCTCTGTCAACACAGTCCTGGCTGAGAGGGGCAGAATGCGCCATGACTCCTCCCCAGCGGCCTCCGCTGGCACCAGACGGGTGCTCTCCATACCACTGGGCACTGACGTCTGCGAGACTCTGATCTCCCCAATTAACCACCGCGAAGCAGAAGTGGAGCTATGGCTCGCTTGGTAGAGCACCCGTCTTAAGCAAACAGTGCCCGGGCCCTGAGGTTAAGCCTCAGGATAGGCATGAATTAATTAATTCGTTGATTAATATCAGCTACAAAGCACTGTCCTGTTCCCGGCTTCCTCTCCCACCCCCAGGTCCCCAGGAGTCCACACAGGGCGGTGGGTGCGGTCTGGGAACGCAGAGGCTGGAGCAGCTTCCGGGGCGTCTGTAGCTCACATTTCCGAGCTGGTGCTGCGTGAGGCATGTGCGTGACTGGCCTGGTTCTCAGGAGTGGGGCAGCTGTCATGGTCCCCTGTCCCCGGGGAGCTGCAGAGGAGGGGAGGGGAGGGCGTGGAGACAGAGCTGCGGACACTGGGACAGCACTTCGCGAGGGACTCCGGCCTGGCGCTGTGGGAGGTCGCTTATAACATCTCGGAGGGAGACTGTAGCCACTGCAGGTTCGGGACGGAGCAAGGACGCAAATACCCATCCCGGGCCACCTTCGGAGCCCACAGACCCACAGGCCTGGCGCTGGCCCATGGCTCAGGGGACAGGAGGAGGAGCAAGCTTTCTGCTGGCCAGTGAGCCCAGCACATCTCTCCGTTCGGAAAGCTGGTCCCTTGGGCTCAGCTACCCAAACGCCTGCGGGAGAGGGCAGGCATCTCAATCGGAAGAGCAGGGGAAGGTGGCAGCAAGGTGTCATATTTCTTGTCTCTAAGGGTACCAGGTACAGAGACGCACCACTAGGACAGGATAGAGAAGCTCCTAGCACTGGGCCCAACTTGCTCTTCTCTAGGCTGTGGAAACTGAGTCAGACTCCCAGACCCTAGCTCTCGTCCTCTGGTGCTTTTGTGCTGGCAGGTCCTCACTGTGTCACCCAGACTGGCCTCAGACTTGCCTCCTCCTGCCCCTTCCTCCCGAGGGTTGGGATTACAGGCGTGCACTACCATGCCCAGCCCTTGTAATTCTCACAGTCTCCAGCTCCCATGATAGCCCCTGTCCCCAGTCTGCTCAGGATGGGGTTATTGTGCATGTGTGTGTGTGTGTGTGTGTGTGTGTGTGTGTCAGAGTCTGAGGGGCCCATTTTCTATCTTTCTCCATCCTGAGAAAGTGCAAAATGGCCGAAGGTCCTGGATCGAATCCCTACTCTGGGGCTGTTACCAGGGCGGAGATGTGGGAATCTGAGAGGCACAGGGGGGTGGCGGGGTCTGGGGGAGCTGGAGGGCAGATACCGGTCTTGGGTGTCGTCACTGAAGAGTCCCACGGAGCCACGCTACTGGGGCTGTGGTTTCTCCAAGGCCCGGCCATCATTGGGTAGAATGCAGCCAAACGACACGGAGGCCTCTAGGCTGCGAGCTCTGGTCACCAAAAGCCTCTCAAGCTCCCCCAGAGCCCCCAAAGCCCCCCTTAAAACACCCAGAGTCCCCTGACCCCCTCTCCCCCCAGCCCAGGTCTTCCTACTGGGCCTGGAGACAGGCCGGCTCTGTCCCCGCAGCGTGGGCCTCCGCTCCACGCCTGGGTGGGCTAGAGGGGCTCTGGGGTGACCATTGTGACAGATGGCCTCACATCTATTAAACAAGAAAGATGACAAGGCCCAGCCCTGGCGATGCCCCAAATGTGAGAGATGGGAAATGGACCCAATCCATCTTGTGAGTCTGGGTGACAGGGAGAAAGGCAGCCATCACGACCCGGCCTTTTCTAAGTGATGGAGCTGGGGGCTGCTGGGGACAGGGCAGGAGGCCTCGGCTTCCCCTCAGGGGACCTCAGCAGCTTCTGAGTGGAGACAGCAGACAGAGATGAACCCAAGTGCTGCCGCTTTGTGCTGTGTGGCCCAGGGCAAGTGACCGAACCTCTCTGAGATCACACGGATCCACGCGTGGATTAAAACCCCCATCAGCAGAGGCAAGGTAAGAAAAGCTGGTGTTTGTGTTGGAGAGCAGCAGGCCGGGCTGCACCACCTGGGTTCGAATCCCACCTCTGACACCACAGGTGGCTTGTGTGAAGTCTCCAGACTACCAGGAAGAGTCGACCTGGAGCCTACTATTATCTGTGGCAAAGTCAGAGATCAATGAGGGCAAGACCTTCATACCTGCTCAGCCTGGAATGTGAGCTCCCTTCCTGGGACACCATCGGGGGCTCAGGATGAACAACCTCCCGAGGTCAAAGTCTTGGGAAGGAAGGAAGGAAGGCCCTGGGGGTGGCAGGGAAGATGGACAGAGAAGCTGGATCCAGAGATGCTTTCCTTGGGATTGTTCTACTTAGAGCATCAGGACTGCTGTTCATGGGTCAAAGTCTCTTTAAGGAAATCCCAGGGGTGAAGCCAAGTGGGAGGGAAGCGTAGAAGGCCGAGAGATCCATCCATTGAGAGGAAACTGGATCCTGAGGCCTCTGGCCTAATCTGTGGGTTAATCCCTTCACAGATTCACTTTGGGGCGGTGCCTGCAGTGTGCTCCAGATGGTTTCCCTGGGTCCCCTCCCCCCACTCTCTGCTTCCTGGCTGCCAGGAGGTGAGCAGCTCTCCTCTATCAGGCCTTCCGCCATGATGCGCTGCCTCGCCAGGGCCCCCAAAAGCAAAGGAGCTGGCAGACCGTAGACCGAAATCGTGAGCCCCAATCCATCCTTCCTGCCTCTTCTTTGTCACAAAGGCCAAAAGGCCACCCCTGACGCCATCCTTCCAGGCAAGGGTGGCTTAACCCCCCCACCCCCTTGTGGGACAACACCATCAGGCCACAGAATGCACATCCTGGAGGCCAGGCCCCATCAACATGTCCAATGACCCGAAGGGCAAATGGTGGCCAGCCAGGGGGCCAGGACGCAGACGCAGGCAGCCTGTGTCACGGACCTTTGTGATCGTGGTCTTCAAGCACTCTTTTGTGTGGTAACAGACACTCTTCCACCTCTACTGGCATCCACAGGGGGCGGGGGGGGGGGATGGGGAGGGATCTTCTTCTTTCTGTATTCAACTTGGTGGGGGGGCGGGTCTCTGGACCACATAACTCAAGTCAGACTCGTAGGACGGACAGTCCATACCTCTGTTGCCGGGGCCTCATTGGCTCCCGGGGTATCACGTGACTGAAGCCAATCAAAGCCCCAACCAGGATTTTTGCTGGGAGTATTGAGAAGGAAACCCTGTCTGCCTGGCCAGTTGTACTGCTTTTCTTTGTTAAGAGACAAATCTAGAGCCGCGCTGCTTCAGAATAAAGCCACGACAGAGCCACCACAAAGAGAACAGAGACTGGAAAGAGACAGAGTGGCTGAGTTGCAGATCCGTTCCGCAGATCTCCCGGATCCAGCGGGGCCTGAGGCCGTGGTTGCATGAGCTTGCCCAGCAGTATTCTCTGTTCGAGAGCTTTTGTCTGATTCCTAGCTTCAGAGGGGATCCTGGCTGAGAGGGAGGTCGGGAAGTTCCCCGCACTGTCTAGCTGCAGTGAGCACTGGGCGAATGAATGGACGGAGAGAAGTCCTGGGCGCTCTGTACTGGACTGCATGCAGCCTCTGTCAGGGTGTTTCCTCACCAGCAGGAGGGAGGGAGGCTCAGACACGGAGGCCCAGGAGAAAGGAGCTCAGGCCTAGTGGCCCCAGTGCCCACTCTGGCTGCCGTGTCCAGAGCCAGGAGCCCACAAGCCTCATGGGCTCATGGACGTGGAGTTTTCCCAAGCCGAAGGGAATCCTGAACCTTCTAGGCTTCACCAGCTTCCACCTCCACCTTCCAGAGCTGGCCTTCAGGGCAGAGGCGGGGCTGGAGGGTGACCTGTGGAGACCAGGGGTCTCCAGGATACTTGTCCCTTGATGCCACTGTGTTGTGACAGCAGCCCAGAAATAACACAAACGGTGGGCGGGGCTGTGTGCACCGGGGACACATGTATGATTGACACGTGTCAATCATACATGGCATGAAATATTTGTGCATCTAAACACATGCAGCCACCTGAAAACAGGTGGTCAGGGGTGGCTGGAGGCCCAGGCTGCCACCGTTGGCCTGGGGTGGGGTGGGAGCGGGGCTTACCCCTTAGCGGATAAGCAAACGGCCCACTCCTGAGTCGGACACGGGTGTCCCAGCATGCCTTGGGGCGCTTCTGCCCTGCGGGTCACAGGTCACTCACCAGAAGGACCACCCGTAGTCCCAGGAGTGGGGTCTCCAGTCCTCGGGGCCAAGGCTCACGGTGACCTGGAACACCTGGGTGTACATCATGTGGGCCACCATTCCCAGCAGGCCTGCGGGGCGGGGAGCAGAGCGGGCGTCAGGGGACGGGAGAGGCCTCATCCCCACCCAGGCCTCCCCAGGTGGACCCCAGGGGAGGGAGGCCAGCAGGACAGCCGTGGATGGCTTGACTGCCACCGGGGCCCAGCACGCATAACAGAGCCCCGACCCCCCCCCCCCACATCCCCTGCCCCTGCAGGGGCTGGCAGCTCACACCTGCCATCCCAGCTACTCAGGAGGCTAAGATCTAGAGGACGATGGTTCGAGGCCAGTCTGGAGTGGGGAAGTCGGTGAGACTTTCTTATCTCCAATGAATCCACCAGAAAGCTGGAAATGGAGCTGTGGCTCAAGTGGCAGAGTGCCAGCCTTGAGAGAAAAAGCTCAGGGACAACGTCCAGGCCCTGAGTTCAAGCCCAAGGACTGGCACGCATGTATACACACACGTGCACACGCATGCACACACACATACACACACACAGTGCGAGTACATGAAAAATATTCTGTAAAATTACCTCCAGGACAGTTGGTTTTGTTGAAATGGCCGGGGCCAGGGGCTGGGGCGGGGGGAAGGGGGTCTCACTAACATTTTACCCCAGCTGGTCTCCACTTTCAATCCTACCAATCTCTGCCTCCCTATCAATATCTGCTGCTCTAACAAGCGCGAGCCACCCAGACCAGCTGCCACCCTGTCTCAATCGTTAGACTTTACAGTGGACACTAGTGGCCTCCATCCCTGCCCATGTGCTGTCCCTCAAAATGGCTCCCCAGGGAGAAGCCACGCCCCCCCTCCTGGGCAGAGCACCCCCCCACCCCCCCCCCACCCACCCCCCCCCCCCCCCCGGCCCTGCCAGTCCCTTGTCTGAAATTTAGGCCTGGCTTTCTACTTCAGCTATTACAGTCTCCTTCCTTCCCTTCCTCCCTCCCTCCCTTCCTTCCTTTCTTTCTGTCCATACTGGAGCTTGAACTCAGGGCCTCATACTCTTGCTTGACTCTTTCTGCTCAAGGATGGTGCTCTACCACTGAGCCTCCAGCTCCACGTCTTGCTTTTTTTGCTATTTCCTGGAGGTAAGAGTCTCACCAACTTTCCGGCTTGAGCTGGTTTTGAACCGTGATCCTCAGATCTCAGCCCCCTGGAGCAGCAAGGATTATAGGCATGAGCCACAGGTGCCTTGCACAACTTGTTTTGTAAGTTCTCCCTCACGAGGCCCTTTTGATGCCAGTTTCCTTATTTACAAAATGAGGGCAGGGGAGAGGGAGTTGTATTGAGCCCCACCCTGGAACAGCGCGGGGAAATAAAAGCCGGACACATAACACTGAACTCTCAGCTACACCCAGAAGCTACATGAGGCCTGCTAGCAGAATAATTAATTTCCCAAAGTCTTAGTTTAGAAAAGCATTGATTTCTAGATTGAATTCCATTTATCCCCCAAGTAGGAAAGACTATGTTTGAAGAAAACTCAATAAATGAAAATTACACTTCACTCAGATACCTCAGTGCGCCTTTGTGATTGCATTTTAAACATTCGGTTTCGAAAATTGGACCCTGGGGCTGGAGGCGTGGCTCAAGCAGTAGAGTACCTGCCTAGCAAGTAGGAGGCCCGGAGTTCAACCCACAGCACTACCAACAGATGAAAAGAAAAATAAAAAAACTCAGCTGGGCACGGTGCCTTAAGCCTGTAATCTTTTAAGCTACTTGGAATGTGGGAATGGAGGATTGTGGTTTGAGGCCAACAGAGACTTTAAAATTTGGGAAGCTCCATCTCAACCTGAAAATAACCAATGCAGCCAGGCACCAGTGGCTCACGCCTGTCATCCTAGCTACTCGGGAGGCTGAGATCTGAAGATTGTGATTCAAAGCCAGCCCAGATAAGGAAAGTCCCCAATAAGGAAAGTCTTATCTCCAATTAACCACCAGAAAACTGGAAGTGGCACTGTGGCTCAAGTGGTAGAGCGCTAGCCTTGAGCTGAAGAGCTGAGGGACAGCGCCCAGGCCCAGAGTTCAAGCCCTACAACTGACAAAAAAGAAAAAGAAAAGAACTAATGCAAAGCTGGACAGCGGTAGCTCACACCTGTAATCCTAGCTACTCAGGAGGCTGAGATCTGACAATCAAGGTTTGAAGCCAACCTGGGCAGGACTCTTATCTCCATTTAGCCAGCAAAAAGAAAGCCAGAAGAAGGGCTGTAGTTTAAGGGGTAGAGCACCAGCCTTGAGCGAACAAGTTCAGGCTCAGTACTTGTGACCTGAGTTCAAGCCCCAGGAATAGCATACCCATCCCTTCCCCCCCACCACAATAACCAATGCAGGAGCTGTTGGACCCTGGGTCACATGTTTTAGAAGTGTAATGCAAGGGGCTGGTAGGTTGATTTATAATGTGGGTTCATTTCTATGTTGTTATTGTTGTTTGAGGTGCTGGGGTTGGGCCCAGGGTTTGCGGCCTGCTAAGCAAGCACGCACCATTGAGCCACACCCCCAGCTCCTGATTTGAGTTTTATTTCCTTTTATGTTTGCATTACCAGAGTTTGAACTCAGGGTGTCGGGACCTGGGCTCAGCTTGCTTGTTCGGCTGGCCGATGTTCTACTGCTTGAGCCACGCCTCCAGCCCTGGTGTTTTTTTTTTAACTGGTTACTTTGGAGATGGAGTTGCAAGGACTTCTCCGCTGACTTTGAAGTGTGATCCTGCCATCTCAGCCTTCTGGGGAGTAGCTAGGACCACAGGCATGAACCCCTTTTTTTGTGTGTGTGGAGTTGCGTGGTCCTGGGGAGGAGGGAAGAAATTCAGGCTGAGAGGACAGAGCAAGGGTCCAGCTGTGGAGCTGGGGGTGGATCTGGGGACCAGCTCTGAAGGCTGAGTCCTGTAGGGTGGCCCCAATTCCCATCTGGAGACAGTCCTTGGGGAGGTGCTCGGGTTAGATGAGGAATAGCACCAGTGGCTTTTGAAGAAGAGCCCCAGGGGCCTGAGCTGGGAGGAGGGGCTTGGTTCTCCTGCCTCCCCCAAGCTCCAACCCAGCCCCGGGGCCTCTCATCTCCCCCAGCCGCTGAGCAGATGCTGGGCGCCGCGTTTCTCCGTCTCCAAAGTCAAATCAACCTCTATTCTTTATAAATTACCGGCTCTTAGGCATTTGGTGGCAGCATCTGAGGACAGAGGGCGGCTTGCGGTGGCAGCTGGGAGGCTGGGACGAGGAAGCCGAGGGGCGGGGGGAGGAGGGGGACCGAATCCTTTAGGGACTTATTAGCTCTGGGGGGGTTCGTGATGTGTCTGTGTCCAGCGGGCAGCTGTTAGAGGATGAACTGAGGCACGGGAGTGGTCCAGGCCGGATGTGAGTCCCTCCGTGGGGAGATCGCTGGCCCTGCCTGCCTAGAGGAGAGACTGGGGGGACTGGGAAAGTAGGGGGCTAAACCTCTTTTTTTTTGGGGGGGGATGTGCAGGAAGCGGCTGGAAGGCTTCCCGAGCCCTGGTGACTCACACCTAAATCCCAGCTACTCAGGAGGCTGAGACCTGAGGATCCAAGGTTCAAAGCCAACCCAGGCAGCAAAGGCCATGAACCTCTTATCTCCAAAACCAGAAGGGGTGCTGTGGCTCAAAGAGGTAGCGCGCTAGCCTTGAGCAAAAAGAGCTCAGGGACAGCGCCCAGGCCCTGAGTTCAAGCCCCACGACTGACTGCCCCCCCCCCCAAAAAAGAGTCACCATTAAATCCAAGCGGGTGACAAAAGAAGTGGCTGTAGAATACAGAGGTCACCATGACCTTGATGGGTTCCATCTCAGCCGCGCAGTGGGAATGGATGCTTAGCTACAGTAAGATGAGGACAGACATGGCAGAGAAGGTTCTAGAAACACTAGGAGCAGAGAAAGGGGTGATGGTGAGCGAGGGCAGAGCCTGGAGGAGGGTCGAGGCGGGAGATGGACGGTGAGTTTCCTGCCTGGCCGAGATGATCAGGCGCAGGGCAGCTGCTGGGGGATTGTGGATTGCAGAGGCTGAAAGAAGGGAAGGAGGAGCAGAAGGTTCCAGAACCAGCAGCTGGCTTTGGATGGAGCCAGGGAGGCAAGGAAGGAGGCAATATGAGAGAGAGCCAAGCTGTGTGTGTGTATGTGTGCGTGTGTGCGCATGCACCACTACTGGGATTTGAACTCAGGGCCTCTTCTTCTTGCTTGACTTTCTTCTTTATTTTTTTGTCGGTCGTGGGGCTTGAACTCTGGGCCTGGGTGCTGTCCCTCAGCTCTTCAGCTCAAGGCGAGCGCTCTACCACTTGAGCCACAGTGGCCACTTCTGGTTTGCTGTGTGGTTTATTGGAGATAAGAGTCTCACGGGCTTTCCCACCAGGGCTGGCTTTGAACCATGATCCTTAGAACTCAGCCTCCCGAGTAGCTAGGATGATAGGCGTGAGCCACCAGCACTTGGCTTAAAGCCAAGCTGTTGGGTTGAATCCCTTCGGTCCGCTGCATCCCGCAGAAGGTACAGGGGCATGGGGGGTGGGGGGAGGGCTGTGGGAGGCTGGCTGGGGACTGGCTGCTCAGGACACTTCAGGTCACCTTCTGCTCCATCGCTGAGGGCAGGGGGTGTCTTGTGAGGCCTGGCGACCCCTCTGAGGGCACCCTCTCCCAGCTAGTGATGCCACATGGAGGGGCCTATTGAGCCCCCAGGTTCAAGGAGTTGGCCCACCTGGTTGGGACTGGCATGTCCTGTGAACGCTGGCCTCTGTGTTCATGGTGTTATACCACACACGGTGCCAACTCCATAACTTAAAAGTTAAGATTTGTTCTTAAAGATGTTGCCAGGCCACTGGTAATCCTAGCTACTCCAGAGGCTGAGAGAGGAGGACTGAGGTTCAAGGCCAGCCCAGGGGGAGAGAAGTCTGTGCGACTCCATTGCCAATTCACCAGCCGAAAAACATGGACTGGAGGCTTGGCTCAAGTGGGAGAGCGCCAGCCGTAGGTAAGTGAAAAAAGCCAAGCAAAGACACAAAGCCCTGAGTTCAAGCCTCAGCATCGGCAGTGTGTGTGTGTGCGTGTGTGCG